TCAACCAGCCACGATTACCTATTTTAGTACTTTATTTAGGTATATTCCCATTATATCTACCTCTTCTTTACTGAGAAAATTAGACTCGATCAATATAAAACGGTTTCACGTACTAACAAACTATACCTGCCTTTTTTAGATTCTAAACCATTTCTTCTACAATGAGAAAACTAGCTTTGCGTGCAAATTTTTAACCCAGCCCCTCAATAAATCCCATTAATCGATTCGTTTGTACTCGCCTTAAAGGGCTAACCCGGTATTTGGTTCAAAATAAGGAAGTCCCATTGATTTCTCGACAGGTAAAAAGTTCGTGTAATAAATTTCCTAGGTAAGGGTTGAAGTGTGGGAAGATACCCCATAAGTAAATCTACGATGGGTGGTCGAGGCGCGGTAATTAATCACGCTAGTTTTGAATTAATTATTTAACCAAAAAAAATAATTTTTTCGTTCAAATCTCATACAGTAGATGCTTAATTTTGCTTTTGGAATCGATTGAAGTACAATTCGTGAAAGAAAATCCTTCTTTGCTTTAAATCCTCGATAAATATCAGTTGACGGAACTTGATCCTATAATCTGTATATTATATACCAACGAAACAATCATTCGTCGATTCGGGTCACATGATATCTTCTCTAATCCCACTGCAATACTAGTAAATTTTATAGAAATAGCACGACCATCCGGCAAATAATAATTGAAGGGTGGCTTAACAGCATTATTTATTTTGCTGGCAACGTACACCAACCAAATGTTGATTCCCATACGAAAATTCAACGGTTATTCCTGACGCACTTATTGCGAGGGTGAAGGTGGAGGGTCCATTTACAAAAAGTCAAAGAATTTATCCGAGTTGAGCGGAAAACAAAGAGTTGCAACGACTGTCCTAAAATGCTGCGCCCTTCCTGCTACGCAAAAGTGGGTTAATCTGGTATGAAGATAATATCCATGAAATGACTGGTGGCCAGAAAATTGAGCTTCTTTAACTTCCAATCGTTAAACGACTTCCTATAACGATAATTCAACACAGTTTTTGCCACTAACTTTTAACAACACGAGTAGTCATTCGGCGAAACGAAAGGCTTATGAAACCATTTCGAGATGTTTCGTACCCAATAAATGAAAATTTACAGCGATGTTTAAAGGTTTTTGTTTCAAAACACTTTAAAAGACTATAAAATTCACTTAAGACGATTATCTTATTTAATGGACGGGTAACGAGAGAAAATTATTTTCGCGGTCTTGATATACACGACACGCTTGATGGCAGAGGTTTTTTGGGCTACCAGCTGATGGGCACAATAATCGCGTACTCCAATTAACAATTTTGTAATTAGTTTTAAATTTTCGTTAATTTCTGTCCGACCAAAATAATTCTCGAATTTTAAATAATATTGGAGTGTGTTCAAAAAAGGTAGTCAGTCGATCATTTATGTTTAATTGCTCTGTCAACTACCAAGCGCATTATCTCAATTTTACTAGATGAATGACTTCGGCCTATGTTTACAACCTTAATTCTTCGTAAATTGTCAGCATTCATTGTTTCCATTGGCGTATAAGTTTCTTTTTTTTTTCTTTCTCGAGGTTTAAATTCATTTGACATTGAAAAGTAAGGAATTACAAACACACCAATCTCTCTAGAAGATACGTCCGATGATTTTGTATGTATAGTTACATTTGCTGAAAGGTAATAGATAGGCAATTAAGATTAATTTGTAACTTATTTCAATCTTCATCTTAGCAAACTTGATGGTCTAGTGATAATTCCAAATCTTAATTCATTCATTTTCTTTCCCTTTTGTCTGGATAATAATTCTTCATGTGTTATGCACCCATAGTAAAATCAAATGGACATTCGTGGTGCTTGGTTCGCACGTCGCTGGCTCGCTCATTAAAACGTAAGTCACCAAACGAAGAGCGAAGGCATAACTATATCTTCCTTGGTGGTCCTCGACATCGACAAATTACTGTAATTTTTTTATGGCAGCTCATTGTCATTTGTTTTTTATAGCTGCTCTTTTAATCTCAATAAATAGGTTTATTAAAACTGCGGTTTCTTCCGCGAAAACGTCCACTTGATGATCATTCCATGCGCGATCGGCTGATTAATTTGAAACATTGTGTGTCGTTATTAAGTGCCCATTGGGGTTTTGATTATTTTATGCTAGTAATTTACCTTTAGGTACTTCATTAGCCATTCATTTTTCTTGATAGTTCAATCAAGACGTTTAAGAATTTTTTGGGTCATTAACGATTTTTTTCAATTATATTGGTAAAGGTATAAGTAAAATATTTGAAAGTAAATTAAGAAATTGATGATTTGTTTATGCAATTCCAACATCCGAACATGGAAAAAACGAACCAGCCCTCTACGGTTCCGTTTGTATGTAATCAATTTGAAACGCGAACCCGAGATTTACGTAACATAAAATCATTTTGATCCCTTCGCATCGGTCCAGGTGCAGTCGAATGCACTTTCAACCATCGCAGCATCAAACAGTAAATTTCTGGTTAACTGGAGGACTGGCAGTTATCGCGAAGAATAGAGGAATCCCATCGATTGTTGTGCAAATTTGAGCTAACAGTCGCGTGGCAAGAAGTGTGACCGGCTAGACATCCCTCTCGTTCAGGTATTTTCGGTTCTCTCTCCGATACACGGAAACGCGCATTTGCGGCAGAAGGAAACGGAATGCGTTCGAGTTATGAAAGCCGAACATCTGGCGTAATTTCCTCGCTATTCTTTCGATTTAATTCGTCGACCCTTGGGATGCAATGCCCTTTGGATTTACCGGAGATTTTTTCGTATAGGTAGGTATCACTCGGATGCACCGAATATTTTATATAACGTGCAATACTTGCATTAACTACATGATACTAAACGATATCTAAATAAGGGATGAATTAAATATATTCTTCGTTATTTTTTTAGTATGACATCATGGCATAAAACAGACAATGATGTAACTTTAAAAGAATGTTTACATGTTTTTCGAATAATTTTCTCAATGGCAACGTAGTGGCATTAATTTATTTCGTTTGTGCCACTTGAAACAGTCGAAGTAAACGACTGACTTTTTAATTACACTTAATGGACTTGTAGAGATGTAATAATTCCAATCTTTTTTTTGTCTGGTCATTGAATTGCACGAATTAATAGTTAACTGCATAAAAATTAACGCTCATAATGGACGTTATCGCTTCAGTAATTACGCTTAGCATTTTTTTAAGAATTACATATTAAATGTCTAGTGTTTTCGACTAAGTTCATACATACAAATTGTAGAAATAATTTTAAGAAGAAGATTTTAAGAATTTACAAATAATTTTAATAAAAAGCAAACGTATGTTGTTATATTTTAGAAAGTAAAATAAAACCCTCGCTTCGAAAAGTGGTATCATTTTCCCGTCTTCGAAGACGCGACCGTACGCAAGAATAGTTGGTAACCAAGTCGTTCATGAAAAATTAAAGGTATACCACATGTCGGGTGGATGCAACGTGCAATTATGGGCCCACATGTGGCACTTAAAATATCTATTTTTATAGCGATGCATTTCATTTGATCCAACATTTGGCATCCAGCTCGGTGTCGATCGCGAACAGAAGAGGACGAAGTATTTCCTTAACGCTTAACGTTGTGGCGAAACAACACATTCGTCTGAGGCCAGCACCCATATGGTCCTTAAAGTCTCTCTCGGGGCCCAGATGATTCGTCTGGAGTTTCAAATAGGGCCGTTCATTACAAATTCACCAAATTTAAAAACCTAACAACACAGGTTAACAACACAGAGAAGAATTTAAATGAAAAGGGGCAGTACATTTTTTAGCAATTACTCCTGACATGTGCTAAATTTAAATATAGCTAATTTACTAGTAAACAAAATTCTTGAATGAGTGTAGGTACTTCGTTTACAATAAAACGTGATCTTCATGTAGGTCGTCAGTAGCTTAAAGTCATTTATGATTGCGGTAAAAGTATTTAATATCTTGGCTTTGTAATTTTTTGTACCGCTCGTCTCGCAGCTTTTGTCACTTTTCTTATCATATTTAAGTCTGTATACAAGTAATGGGCCATTCATGGTATTTATGTAAATGTACATAACACAAGATGCTAATGAAATACCTGCCTATTTTTGTTACACAGGAATTCTGAAAGTAATTTGCGCGATTAGCAGATATAAAACAAATACAAGGTGTTGAGTAAACAGAATTATTTACAGACTGGTTGTAGAAAAAATTAATTTTTATTCCAATTACCTATATACTTTTTTTATCAATACGTTAGAATAGGTGAAATAGTTTGGAAATTTCAATCTACCTCTGATTGAATGTCAACCGTATCAAAACTTTCCGAAATCCATAAAACTTCCCAATTTCACGTCTGTCCAAAATACCGCTATTTACTTTATGAAAACAGACATTCCCCTTCTTACCTAAAATCTACCGGCTTAGAAAGCATACGGTATTTTCACACATTGGCAGGGTCGCATTCAGGGATGAAACAGAACAAATATAAAAATTCAAAAAGAAAACATCTACAAACTTTAATATTTAAACAGCACACTTTATAATTATGGGATAACGATTTATAAAAGTAAAATCATACAAAAATGGTTAAGTTGAAGATTTTATGTGGTAAATAAAACGAGTAAACCACTGGCAACGACCCTGCGTCGCGTACACTTTAATGTTTACCGTACGGGTCCCTTATATGCCGCCTTTTAACGAAACGCGAACAGCTGTTGATCCAGAAACCACCCTTCGAATAAAAAAAGGGGGAGGGGTACCTTTTGCCTCGTGCCACGGGCGAATGTTCCTTTTCAAATTAGTCGATATAAAGTTTTCCGTTCATTCCTTAAAACACTCTCGCACGCGACGAATCTATAATAACATCCGGCGCGCCCCGATGCCGGCTCGCCTCGTTCAAGCTAAATAAAGTGACCGATGCGAACTTCACGCCGAGTGATGACAAGCGCGAGTGCGAAAATTAGTCTGATCTGAGAACGCGTTCAAAATGTCGCAAATCAGCGTCGTACAGTACAACAAACTCAACGTGCTGCAGCAGAACAACATCAGCAACAAACCGAACGACAGGCAGATCATCGTGCTGAGGAAGCCCCAGCACATTCTGCCGCAGCCGAAGGAGTTCGACAAAGATGACATTCTTCTCACCAACACCGCCAGGAAGAAGTCCTCGGGCAAAAGTTCGAAGGAGAGCAAGACGAATGCTGCGCCTGTGGCTGTGGCTAGGAGAAACGCCAGGGAACGGAACAGAGTCAAGCAGGTTAATAACGGTTTCGCTAATTTAAGACAACACATTCCGAATTTCATTGCGGCGGCGTTTGAAAATTCGAACGGAAGAGGTGGTAACAAAAAGCTCAGTAAAGTAGAAACTCTTAGAATGGCTGTAGAATACATACGTAGCTTAGAAGATATACTGGCTATGGATAACCCGGAAGGAACCACTTCCAGCTCAATACCAACTAATAATATTACCTACACGTACCAAATTTTATCGCCTACTGAAGAAGACGACGATTTGTCGTCCAACACTACAGCATCACCTCAACAATTCATCAAAATAGACACTTCTTCAGGAGCATTTCAAGTTTTATCTAACACCATATACGAAGATGGGGAAAATTTGGATCCCATGGTAGTAGATGAGCATCTACTAACAGATCCTTCTCTACTGGATCCGAATTTGCATTTCAACGTGAATACGCAGGATTTATCGTACCTGCAGAACGTACATTCTACGGATTCTTTATCGCCCGGATTCTACAGTGAAAACTCTTTATCTCCGGACTCTTTGGAGAAAAGTGACCCTAATTGTTTTATACCGGTGTTTAATACTCCCCCGGATGAAGGACTGGATGACGTGAAACCAAACATAAATGATATTCCTGTTATTTCCCTCAAGACTGAAAACGAATTGCCCGACGAGCAGAAGGAAAATATGGTCGACGTGCTCCAATGGTGGGAGCACCAACAACCGCAAAATCCAACCAGCTAGTAAATATTTAAGTTCGGAAATTTAGGTGAGTAGATATTTCAAATTTGTGTTTGATGTATGGGATAACTGAACAGAAACTTGTTAAAAATACACTAATGGGCCTCGTTTCTATTAACGAAATTGTTAAAACAATCAGTGTGATTGGATTTATATAGTCCTATAAAATTGTGATTTATAGCAACGTTTCTCATATGGATTTTATTGCGATCAAAAAAACCATAAAATTTAATAATATCGACTGTTTTTAACTCGGTCTAAATGTCTTTATTAAATGAATTTTGGTTTTTACGAATTTATTCGATTGAATTTCCTGTTTATTAATTACTAAAGGGATGCCAAAGTTAAGTAATTAGTAATTTTTCAAAGCACTTTAAAATTTAAAAATTTGGTGGCACCGTTATTGTTTACTCCCAATATTAAATCTTTTAGTTTTTTGGTTTCTTGGAGTTTTTTAAATGTTAAAACCCCAAAATATTAAATATTACAAAAAAGTTTACAAAAATAACAAGTTTAAAATATAGCTCTTTTTATGCATTACCTCACTCGTTTTTACAACTTTTAATGGAACCAGTAATGAGACGATCGATATAAATCATTTAATAAAGTAAAAGTGCTATAAATCAGCACAACCAATTAATGGCCGTTTATCCATTCGGACCGCGTGGAAACGAATCAATTTTTATCGTGCACACAAATAATTAATAGTGTCACATATTTCAACTCGATACTGCACGGATGAATGTTTCGAGCTAAAGCACGATGGATATTTCTTAAGAAAAATTGCAATATAGATGCTACTAGTAAACAGTGAAGTCGTTTACATTGTTTACCACCAGGATTTTGCATTGATTACTTTAAAACAATATCAATAGTTTAAAAAGTTAAAGACTTTTTTTAGAAAATTTTATGTTCTCGGAGGATTATTTCAGTCTCCTTGACACATTAAATCAAAAACTGCCTTTCAAGCGCCACTGGTTTATTAATTACCTGTTATTAATGTTCGACTGCAATCCGTTTCAAAAGCGCGTATGCACACGACAATGATTGATGTTTCGCACGGCCGCAAAAGTACAGAGAAAAATATCATTTATTACTAAAACAGACATGTTGAAGATAAAGCTTTTATTAAGAAAGATGCGCCGTTTAAAAAAGGCACAAAACGAAATTTCGGTAGTCGATTAATTTCGCTCAATGGGCACTCACGTATTGTATAATACGAGTCGACAAAATTTTAAAACGGTGCTTTGAACTTTTCATGTGAAACAGGAAATATTGCTTTTTTTCATCTAATTTTACTCAGAACTTACCTAATATCTGAACGTTCGTTGTTTTATAGCAATGTTAATTGAAGTCTGTAAAGATTTATGAACATAGCTAAAAGGCTAGACAAGCACTGATGAACATGTTCGAGTACAAGGCAATGAAACGGGCGAAAAAATAAAGAAGATCGACGACACAACGACGATAATTCAACGTGGATATTTTTCTCAACCAGTGCTACCGCTTCAACGGCATAATACTATGGAATACTAGAAAATTGTAAACTTTAAGTTCGATCCACCAGTGGTGTACTTAGTGCCTTACTGCAACTTTTTAATGCGAGTGATGAACGACAGAATGACGAATGAGTAAAAAGTGATGAAAAAGAAGCATCTTATAGAAATGCAAACGAAAGCCGTTCGAAATTCGCATGAAATAAGTATTTAATTTCACTGATCGAGAAAAACAAGAAGTTTTTGATATTTCGAGCGCAACATCGTACTTGTTTTCTTTTTTTGTGATCCGTTATCCCAGTTGTACGTTTACTCGATGACTAACGATTATTAATATCAGTCGGAGATCAAGATGAAAGGAATTAAATATTCAACACGCGAAGCGATGAAACGCATTCATAAAGTTACCGACGATGCAAGGACATGAATATACCTCACTAAAAATGCCATTAACCGGCTCAATAAAGTTATGGTTACGGTAGTAACTACGTTAACCATAAATACCTACCGGAGTTTGCAAGTATCTACGAAGCCAAGAATCGTATGATGCGTTTTTCTGGATACAAAAAAATCATTTGATGGTGCCCTCGAGGAAAGTATTGGAACACCAAAAATTAATTTGTAGAGGGTGTTTTCGAACTTGGGGTTTAATTTTTAATGATGAAGTGGCAACAAGTAAAGAAAAAAGTTAAACAAAAATTATTTAAAAACGAAAAAAAATGTCAAAAAATGCGGTCCTGCACAGTTGCAACTCGACTCGCGCTATACGATCGAGTTCACCATAAGCTTATGATTGATAAATTAAGAGTGATATCTCATTCAAATTTATTTATTACTTATTTATTCCACACGGTCTCTAAAGGTAACATTCTAAAAAAAACTAAAAAGAAATATTAGCTCACCTATTTTGTTGTTAAAAAATGGTGAAGTTCATAGTAATAAATTGTTTATTAGTAATTTGATTGACCGCGGATGACATTGTTATTGTTCCAGAACACTAACATAAGAACTAACTAAACTAAGAACAACAGTAAGAAATATGTAACTAAACTAAGAAGAACAAGAACACAATACGCGCTAGAAAACTATAATTTTCTAGCGCGCAACATCATTATTTCAAAAAGCACAATATAATAATTTTTTTTCAAGGATATTGAATTTTTCTAATAGTTTTTTTTTTTATTCCAGGTGACGATTTGCCAAGGTGCGTTCGATGATCTCAGAACTCGATGTAGGAAATGCAAAAAATGTCGGTAAAATGCGGTATTTTATAATCTAGTCTTCGAATTATTAGGACCCTACTGTTACCAACGAACTTCAAAAACTAAATTTAGGTTTTTACAGTAGATATATTCGTAAATAAATAAATTAACTCGATATTAAGTAGGACGATCTTAAATTAGCGTTTACTCAAAGTTTTGTACATATAAATGAATTGTTAATAAATAATTTTATATTGTTGATGTATACATAATGCAGTGATAATTTATAATATTAAAATTTGTATAACTGTTAAGTTTTTCAATAAATTCACGCTGTCCAAATACTGTTATTCAAATTAGGTTGATAGAAAAAGCTACATTAAGCATAATATGGCTCCATAAACTACCCCAAATAATTAAAAGAAAAAAAGTATTGCTACTCTTTAAGAATAAAAATAATTCAGATTATTTATTGTGATAGTTTCAACAGGCAAAGCTTCGAATTGTTCGACTTTCAACACTTTAAATTACGACTTAATTACACTTGGACCTGATGAATATGCACAGGAAGGTGCCGCCTACCGGCTTTAGAGCAGCGGTTATGTCACCGAGGCGAAAATTTACGAGCTCGCTATTTGAATAAACAATAAAATATTTTCGACAATTCAAATTCGCTAGTAATTTATTTGTTCAAAGCAATGTTTAAGTTGATTTGTGGGCATCTTCGGATCGCGTTTTACAAAATAAATTTTCATTAGCTCGAGATTTATAACGCTTCTGTATCATTTCTTGTGTTGTCGTTAAAAAACGGAGAAGAAAGAAAGCCAATCCGGGTACGTTTATCATTTCGGTTTTTACGAAGACAAGAATATGTTCCGGCTCGTTTTATGTAAATTCTCCTACTTCAACAGGCCACTGATGGGTATCTGGAGACGCTACTTTTGTTGTTTTTTGATGATTTATTTGTCTTATGCATCTTCATCGCTTCCGATTTTTCCAATTTCTTGCATAGCGAAAAAACAGGCATAATTTATTGGACTCGTTTATATTGGAAAATTTTTATCGCATTTCACGATGGCTCATTAATAATGATACATGAAGCAACCGAAGAGACACAACCCTTTTATTTAAAGTTGAAAATAGTAATATTTTCTCATTATTTATGAGTTACAAATTCACCTAGTTTTATTTTAATCAGCAACTATATGATAGAGTTTACGCTAATTAATTTACTTACTATACATTACGGTACAAGAGATCCCTTATTATCCAAATTTCACCGTTACTAAACCTTCTCATTTTCATGTAAATTATTTTCCGTTTTTTTTATACGAATCTGCATTCACGTTAAGCGAAAATAATTCCCATAAGCCGAACGCAGACACAATGTCCATCGGTCTGAAAGTAATTCCAGTTCTTCCGCGTATCAAAAACCCGGTTCGAAGAGGCGAGATCTTCCTTCTATTCTTCGAAGCCCCCGAGATCACCGCGTCATTTTTGCGGAACTAACATCTGCCGGCGCACAAAAACTCGACGAAATTATGTTAATTATCCTGCACCTTAAAATAAAAGGACGATGTTAATCCTTATCCGACCGAGACGACGAGGATGAACAATTGCTGGAAGGATTTTTTCGGGGGGATGTTGTAAGCAAAAAATAACGGTAAGTTAGTTGAAGAGGAGTTTCGGGCGGTGTTTTTTGCGGTAGGACCTTTCATTGTTCGGATGAAGGATTTTATCAACATTTTTTTCAAGTTCAAATCCGGATAAACAGAGTGAAATTTATGTCTATGAAACTAAATAAATCGCTGGGTATTTTTGCGCTAATAGGAAAACCAAAGGCTCGAAAATCGCGTTAAAAATAATCATCGCAAGGAATTAGTCATTGTAAAAATTCTCATAACCAACCAGTAGTAGATAGACGTTCAGGAAGTAAATATTTGCGTAGAATAAAAGCGACATTCGTACTTTTTGTTAGACGATGTTGACAAACAGTCTTCCTTCGGTTCTGTACGGCCCCTTTTTAATATTTGTTTGATTAGGTCCGTTTTGGTTTATTTTCTTTTTTGTTTGATCCCACGACAAAGTTTCCTCTTTTTATAAATCTAATGCCGAGAACAGAGAGGAGATTATTTTCCGTATACCTTAGAGGCACACGTGTTCTACCTTCTTATGATACACTGTATATTTTTTTAATTCCTAATTCCTACCATTCGATTTGATAAATGATTTACTTTACAAATTTTAAAAGATACAGAATTTTTCTTTCGTGCTACGCAAATTTCATGTTTTATAAACTTGGAATTTATGAATTATCTATTCATTATCATTAATAAACACATACATATGTACCCCTATATGACCGTAGGTATATTACAAATTAGTATGCTGCCCTATGAGAGAAAATTACCCATTTTGTTGATAACTTACCGGTTGTAACAACCTAGAACTTTACATAATGGTGGTTATAGTTAGGAGAGGAAAGCTTTGGGAATATTTTACAACCATTACTAGGAACACAGTAAATATTGACAAATTGTAATGAAACCATATCTGCAATAATAATAATACTCTATAATAAATCAAAATTTATTGCTGATTAATATTTGCGAAAACGCAATTTATGAATATGATAGTACACGCTTAATTCATAAACATTTTATTACAACATATATTATCCATTATTTTCAGTAATATTCAGGTGTTTGACAACACGAGAAAAGACACATAAACCCTGTAACAATTTCGGAGACGCAGAATGCCAATTGCATCGTGCAAATGATGTATTCGAATCTTAATATCTCCACTTGCCATATCATTAAATAAACAACTCCTAACATCGACGGTATCGTCAACAAAATCGCTAACACTACGGGCCATTCTGAAAGAAGAAGTAACGATAAAATTAAGAAATTAGTGTATTAACAATAAATACTTACTTTTCTCTGTTAAATTTCCTCTACTAGCTAAAATTATTCTAAATATTTCAATAACGCAAACACCCATCAGAACCCCGAAATCGGTGAGGTAATGGTGTAAACTATAAAAGCTAAAATACTTCACGGCGTTCATTCCCAACTCACAAACCGCGAATAAACCGAAATAATAGGAATTTAAATACAGTAAAACTTCAAACGTTAGAGAAACGTTCAATTTAAGCATTTTTACTAAGGTTTTTGGAGCTGTTTACAAAATAATATTGCCGATCAATACAAACATTGCGCACTTTTCAAATTTGACTGGAATCGCTCGGTTAAACGCAGGAAGTTGCTCCGCTGCGTTGCCACCTAACTTTCCATTGGGGAAAATCGCAAAAAAAGCACGCGGAAATGGGGAAAATTTATTTCTCGAAACATGATAAAATGGCAGAGTTTCTTGCTACATAAACTTACACCTTATTAGTATTATCTGATACAAACTTATCCATAACTTCAATAAGTTTATCGACGACCAAAGTTTTCGAATTCCTTCCGAAGAGAAAATCGTAGTGATTAAAATTGAGATTTCTAATTTCGTACATGCCGTACCTCGCCCGTTCCGGCAGAGATTTGTAGAAGTTTATGCAATCCTAAAAAATAAATAAGCGATAAATACTATTAAATAAAAATAATTGTCAGAGAAAATGGTATTAGTCGAATCCAACGATCAGTTGTAGATAATAAACGAGGTCGAGTTATTTAAGCGTTGCATAAAATCATTCTTTTTTAAATAAATCTATAACAAACATCAGCTGCATAGCGAGCATTCAGAATAAGCGAACTGCATAGACCTATCAGCACAATTATTGTATCTTAAAAATTGATCTCTTGCTTTAATATGAAGCAATATGGTACACGCCTTTCTATTAAATAACTATAAAGTAACAAATGGAAGTATGAAAATTGTTAAAAAATACCTGTCTGGATATAGACCAATCGTTCGAAGCAAACATGATATAAACAGGAACTTTAATGTTCTTTAAATCGTATTCAGGAGGTTCATCTGTGCCGTACAGATACCTGTTTTTGCCAATACCATAATCATACTTTCTGAACCTATTTCTGGAAGATTCAGTTAAAAAAGTCAGCGTTCGAAGTGACGTACCCCCGGGAATTTGATTGAAGTATACTGGAATAGTTTCCTGCAAACAAATATTTAAAAGAAGTTAATGGGAAGAATATAAATAGTAATCTTACCGGTGCAATTTGTGAGAAAGGTCCTAGAAATATATTCATCGCAGTTAGACAAGCGATCATTAATGGCGGAGACGAAAGACATAATGGACGAGTGAAGTTCCTTAAATTAGCCCTAGAAACTGATTGTACCAAATTCAAAGCATTAGAGATGTCCTACAAAATATATATCATTAAAAATATTGATCTCTGTTTAAAAAAAATATAAAACACTCACTACTGCTGGGTACAAAAGAGGAAATAAAAATCTGTAAGGTGTTCTAATGTTGGGTAGTTTATACGTAGGGGACATCATCACTAGAAGGCTTAGGGAATTCGCAGCAAAATCTGGGTATTCCGAAGCGAACATCATCCCTAACGTAGTACCTAAGGAATGTCCTATGTAGATAATTTTTCCCCTATCTCTGGAATAATAACTAACGAGTTGAAGCATAGCCGGGATGTCTTTCAAAGCGATGTCATCTACGCTACAATTAGAGGAAATTAGCAAGTTAATAAGTGATATAATTAAAAAACTAAAATAAATATCTCGGCTGGACAAAACTTTCGCTTTCCGAGATACGATTAAAAAAATGCAAATTACATAATCTCGTTATTAATTTCACCTGTAATCCCAATATTCTCTTTGTGTCGCATTCATCGCCTCGTGTTCCTCGGAGTACTCCGAACCTCTATAGTTACCTAACCACACGTCGTACCCCGCTTCGTACAAGAGAAAGGCTTAAAAAGGAAAAAAAGCGAAAATTGTATTTGCATTTCAGATATGCAGGAAGTTCGTTTGCAACCTCCAACTTGATATCGATACGTGCCGGTTATTGTGTAATAATTAGATTGTTTATTTACCCATTGATTGCTTCCCCAAACCGAGGAATATTCCGCAGGAAGATTGCATTCCATGCATTAAAAATACTGCCGGTTTCGTGGACGAAACGCGTGGGATCCTAAATAATTTTAAAATGTAACCATCTTTGGTTTTAACTTTGAATTCCATAAAAGGGTAGCCAGATTTTTTAATGATTTCGGGCTGAAAATATTCCATTTTGCATTAACAAAATAAATGCAGTACAATACAGGGTGTCCCGCATAAGAGCCTACACAGAGGATGGGCGTGTAGGAGAGCCTATCATGTAATAAGTTTGTTTGATTCAATCTTAATACAAAGTTACATTCCTGAGAAGTTATAGGTCGTCAAAGAGGAGTTATAAATATAAAAAATTATATCTCGGTAATACTCAAACTTAAAACAACTAAATTTAGTATACGTTAAGAGTGTACTAAGGGCAATAATCGATATTTAGGATAGATTTATTGGTGTATTTTAAAGGGTTCATCAGCGGTGAAGCTACCTTAAAATGTTACAAAATATTTTGCCTAATAGTTGATTTAAAAAAATTATTAGTTCATTTTATAGGTACTCTCATTTTAAAACATTTTTATTGTTTTTGATTTTTAAAATTCTTTGTAGTTTTGCCGGGTCATAATCGAAATCCTTAAGGATCTCAACATTAAACAACATATTTTAGGCTCCCCTATAAGCCCCTGCTCTGTGTCTATTCTTATGCGGTACACCCTGTATAATTTCAAACTTACCGCTTTGGCGTCGGCGGCGAAATCGTACCAACAATTCGAATTGTTGCTCATCCTGAAGTAATCCCACCATCGCGAGCACACGTTGTTAGAGTTTTCTTGGCAAATAAACGTCTTGAAGAGTAAAACGATGGAAATTATGACACAATACCGCATTGCTTATGGCACTACTTTCGCTGAAATGCGACCGCTGCACTGAAACGATTCAGTTTTATTATTGGCACTTTCATTAGCTTAGCAGAATTGCTCTCGGTATACGCGACTGATACGTTCACTGCGTTTGTAAAATGTTTTAATCATAATAAATTATAAAGGAAGTAAAACACTTTTTTTTGAGCTGAAATCAATTAACTGCATCAAAAATTTCAAGTGAAAGCTTATAAAAAGCTTGTGTTACAGAAGTTCAAGTATCTCATAAATGATAAACGGCGCATATTTATTTATATTACAATTCGATTTTGATGTTTTATTAATTTTATTTGCAGAAGGGACATTTTTTTGCAAGAAATATTGTCATTCTAAGAAATTATTTCAATAATGGTACAACTTAAAAAATCTAAAGTGTACTTACTATAAGTTCTAGAATACTTTTTTCACTCATTAATATATAAATTTTAATAAATATGTAGTTATAAATATTGCACCACTATTGAAAGACCATGATTTTAAATGGGTGCAAAAAGCAATAATGTAACTACAATTCTTTATTACAAAACGAAACAAATTTCTTAAATCAACAAAAAAAAATAAAATAAAAAATTGCCTTTTATTACTGTTACAAAAATCTTTCAATTGCAGTACCTCAAATTTACAAGAAAAATTAAATATTTCTAAATCTTAATGTAATTTAATGGAAAACTTCTCTCTTACAGCCACACCTGGTTTCCTCACAACTAAAATCCTGTCTTCGTTACTATACGAAGTATCCAATTCGACAGATGGGAAAGTTTTGCTTGTTAGTTTAGCACCTTTTATACCTTTTGGTGGGCCCAGAATGACCAACCTTTCAATCCATTCGGTCGTAGGATAATCAGTTTTATCAACCAACTCACTCGTCAAAGTGTTATCTTCAAACGAGAAGTGAATATACAGGTACTTTTTATTTTTATACGCAAAACTTTCCCCGTCATCCACGTACAAGTAACCGTCGGCTTTGTGGGTCGAGTCCAGAGCAATGTACAAAGTATACGGATCATTTCGCATTAAAGGCGATGATCTTCTAGGTCTGTCCTTTCTCGAGATGATGCTACCACCTTAAATTACAAGAATATATCACAATATATCCACATTTTCACACGATGTACTTACCTCTGTAGAAAACGAGACTCTTGTCCAACGAAACAGGAATATTGTGATTTCCAGTACCGTGGTACAATTTGAAATCTTCGATATCATACCAGTATTCGTTGGGACCTCCTGGGAGATAAACATTTATTGTAGAAACTCCAGACTCGGCAATAACTCGCGACAGAATCGAATTTCCTACCAGCAACTCGTTATCTACATCTAAAACATTCTCGTCTGTTGGGTAAGCGTAGAAAAGCGGTCGAATAACTGGCTCTCCTGCAGATTCATGTTGCCAGAACAGCGTGTACCAGTATGGTAAATGAGCGTACCTTAATCTACATAAAAATCATCATTTTAATCGAACAAACTAAATTTAAACCAATCCGTTACCTTAAACTAGTTCTAATCCTGTTCTTCACATCATCGGCGAATAAAAATGGTTCCCTCCTTCTGGTATCAATGTGCGCGTGAGCCCTGAAGAAAGGCAACCAAATGCTGGCCTGATACCATCTTTGCAACAGTTCTACATCGGGGTTATTAAAGAAACCACCCACATCGGCTCCGCAAAAACTGATGCCTCCTAAAGCTTCGTTGAGGCACATCGGGTAACTGATAGCTAAATGTGCCCAATCAGCAATGTTATCACCAGTCCATATGATGCCGTAACGTTGAGTTCCAGCGAAGTGGCCTCTTGTGAGGATGAAAGGGCGCTTGTTTGGCGTACGTTTCATCAATCCGTGGAATGTCGAGTAAACCTAAAACAATTCCGCGTTATCTAAGAATGTATATGAAAGTGAAAGGAACTTACATGAGCCAGTGCGTATTCGTTGTGAACATCTCTGTGCTCCCAGCCTCCGTGATGAATGCAATCTTTCGGCATGGTGACTTCAGGTCCGTTGAAAACCGAAGGTTCGTTCATATCGTTCCAAATGTAAACGTCGTGCGTGGTGCCTTTGAAAGTTTCCAATGAATACAAATCCTTGTAGTATTCTATTGTTTCCGGTTTGTAGAAATCCAAATAACTGCTCGAACCAGGCCAACACCATCCTAAAATTGGTTTTATTAGCCTAATAGAATTGAAAAATACAACAATGACAAACCTTCGTAAACGCTACCATCTTTGTTTTTAACGTAATAATCATTGGCCAATGCATCCTCGTGTACAAAATAACCTGACTCTCGTTTGATGTGAGGATCAATGATCACGACAAGTTTCCTTCCGGTTGTAGTCAAGTTTTGGATCATGACGTCAGGATGACTGAATTTAACGGGATCCCAAGTGAAGTATCTACAATGTTTGAATGTAATAAAACGAATAACTTCCAATAAATTGCTTATACTTTTTCCCATTTGTATATTCAATATCCAACCACATGACATCGACCGGCATATCATTTGCATCAAAGTTTTGAACTACAGTGGTAACATCATCCTGATCATTGTAATTCCAACGACTCTGATGATAGGCTAGTGTATAATATTGAGGTAATGGATGAACACCGGTAAGAGAAACGTATTGTTTAACGGCATCTTTCGGAGAAGGACCCATCAGCATAAACGCATCAACTAAACCAGATTCGCTCATAAAATGAACGTCTATGTTACTCTCAGTTTTGCTTCCTGAAAAACAACAAATTCAATATTCCGGAATGACGTTTAAGTGAAACACACAAAGCGATTATTTTGACCCATATGTTAGCTTTACCTGACACCAAATTGACAATAGAAGCCATGACATTACCATCTTTACTGTTATTAATATCGACCCAAGTTTCGGCTGAATTGTGCCAAAACAGTCCTACAGTATGTTTAGGGGAATGAGCATATACCACAGGAACAGCACCGTACAACGCCATAGTGGAATCCAACTCGTATTCGAACACGTCCAAATTGTACAACCTGTAGGGGTCAACTCCACCAGGTCCAGTGGTTCGTAAAGGTAACCTTTATAAAGACATACAATTACATCGGGCAGTTTTTCGATAAATTGCAACCTACTTATCCCCGTGCTCTGGTAGACCATAAATCCTTAATGCACCTGGAAAACTGATATCCATTCCAATAGCTGAAGGTCCTTTGGGTTTACTGTCGTGGTGGGATTTGAAATTTTCTTCCCACATACCCGGATCGTCGACAGCTTGTGTTTCTTGACCCTCATCGTTGGTGTTTTCTTGTTTCTTCCTATACTGTTCAAAAGCAAACAATCCTCTACCGTTAACCACGCTGACTAGTTCTTTATCGTGGTAGAACTCTAATTTAAAAGGTTCCGCATGTAGTACAACTTTATCGGAATTGTGGGCTATGGATACAGAATCGGTTGATCGTTCCAGAAGGCTTAATCTGAATTATAATGAAAATATGTTATTAAAAAGTATTAAGTATTATCTGCAATGTATTTTCAAGTAATGAACATCTTAATCTACTTCAATGATACATTTATAAGTAGAAGATTAAAATTTGTGTTATCTTCAATCACTACTTCACAAGGAGAATATTATCTGAAAATTAAATTAGAATATTATGTGCTTACTTGGAAACTTGTGGTTCGCCTTTTAAAGCAAACTGTGGTTTGTAGCGCTTGTACAAAGGATTTGCTTCATCGACTTGTATTCTAAATATGTTTCCATTGATTGCAGTCAAAGTGAATTTAAGTTTAACGTCTCCATTGAGCAAATTGGCCTCGATGGAATTATCGGAAATTTGCAATGAATTTAAGTCCAATTTGTATTTACTTTCACCAGCAGTCATTCCTCTTAGACGTCTAAAATGTTCAATATTTAGGAAATAGGGACAAAAGATATTGGATTCAATTACCTGCAGAAACTGCTTTGTTCACAAGTCTTAAAATTGCCTTTATCCACACCCATACTGTACAGGGTACTGGCCAGTATAAACAAAAGAGATCTAAAAGGATATGTTATTATTTGGTACATATTAAATGAATAAACTTACATCAATCGACGCGCCATGCTGGCAAACCGGTATTTTGTAAATAAAATTAATAAATATTACAATATACTTTCAATTGTTCTGTAATCGATTAAGCTTAAAATTAAGAAGAAATAAAATAAATTTATTTAAACTCAGTCACTTTATCACAAAATAATCACTTATTTCAATTTAGAATTCTCCATTTCTCTATCAAAATCCTAAAATGATAACGTAAAAATAGAAATAGAAACTTGACAGCTCGCGATCGGTATCAATGACAACTGACAATGACATTTACAACATTCTGTTATTCTGACAGTTGGATAATTCTCTAAACCCGATCCGACGTTGCCAAAATCTTTTTTTTTATCTCACAGAACAAGAATCTCATCTGTCAACTAAACGTCAAATGAAACGATAAACGATAAACGAAACGTCAAAAATGTCAATGTTTATTTTTTATTTATGGTTAAAATAAACTAAGAAATAAACGAGTTTGTTATATGCAAATGATTCCCGTATTTTTTATAAGGAGTTACAAATGTGAAAACTTCGGTTGGAATTAATAGATATTTAAATTATGAAATGGTTACTCTTTTGAGTGAAATTCATTTCTGGACAACACAAGACGACGTTCTTGTTAAAAATACAGATTACGGTTCTTTTAAGTATGTTAAATTCCTGAAACTCAAGCTTTTGTTACTACATTCATTTTCAGGTACTACAATAAAAAAGAAGGAAATGATTTACTATCCAGCCACAGTAAAAAGGATTATTGTGACAAGAGAGGTTTATTATGGTACTTACCGAATAAAAGACCACACAAACTAAAAGAAAAATTAAAAGAATTGGAAGACCATTTAATCCACAGTAAAATAGTCTCCTTTAATTTCGAAGACACTAACTTAATCCTCCTACTATCAACGGGGTTATTAGTCACTTTAACCATAAGTGCAGCTACAGGTGATCTAACGAACATTGTGTTCGATAAACAGCTATCAGCCAAGCTCCAGGCCAACATTATATGCGACGGGGCAATTTTCAGTAACCACATTATTTGCATTTGCAATGATGGCCACGTCGTGGGTTACGGAGGCCAGTGGAAGGATGGCTGGGTGCTGGAAGGTGGCCCCCGAAAAAGGCTGAATTATTACGGTGAATGGCTGGCTGTGTGGGGCAAAGCGGGGGCTGAACATCCTCAACCTTGGAGTCCCCTAGCTAAAGACCATCAAAGAGCTAATTTGCACCTATATTGGATACATTCTGGTGACCCAGAATTGTTATCTTATAAGAAAACCGATGCCGAGCCGCTAGAAGTAATTGTCAGTAAATTTAAAGCTAGAACATTAATAGTGATTGAGCAAAAAGTGACACAAAGAGGTGCGGTCTCGGTGGAAGTGGGCAATTTAGAATTAGTGGGTGCGAATTTAAAAAGAATATCGGTCACATCAGTACCACTTCAGACTCAAGTAAGCTGTTTGTCTTTGAGTAAAAACGAAGAAAGATTATTAATTTGCTGCATAGATGGTTCGTTAGCTCTATTAGACCGAATCAGAGGTACCACCCGAACGATAAAAGCCAGTTTCATTCCGACTCTGCTCGACTGGCATCCAGATGGTGCTGTGGTTGCTGTAGCAAGTGATAGAGGCCAGTTGCAATATTACGACACTGCTTTGAATTGTGTTAAAAGCCAATTTTTAAACGAAGATTGTCTACCTTCGGCGATTGTAAATCTATCGTCTTATTTTAACTTGCATTTCAGTATATCTTCCATATATTGGACCAGCAAAGATTTGATTATAGCTTTTGAACAAGGTCCAATAGCTTTGATTACGCATGTAAATAAGTCGCTGAATTTCAACGCTTTCGTTCTAAACTATTTGAGTTTAGGAAAAGTTGATAAAGCTATAAAATTGTTGCTGTCGTGGGAATTTAAAGAGGACAGTTTTTTTGCGCTACAAAAAATAGTAGTGCATTTGCTGCGGCATCAACTCAACGAAGATGTAGCTAAACATTTGCAAAATGCTTTAGGTTGTTATTATAACAGCCCCGTGCCTATTAGGTCGTATATTAGGCATAAATATGAGAATCAAGTGAGTGTAATTTTGCGTAATAATTTACTATTTTAAAATGTGTGTTTGAAACAGGTTGTTTCTTTGACGAGGCGATTCTTCCATCAATTAGTCCGATCGGATATGTTCGAAACAGCGTTTTTATTAGCAGTAGATGTGGGTCATCACGATTTATTCATGGATTTGCATTACGTGGCTGTTAAAATAGGCGAAACCGAGATGGCAGCTGCGGCTAGAGCTCAAGCCTCGGCTCTTTTGAGTAGATGCTCAAGCGAAGGTAAGATATTTTAACCGTTGATATTCATTTCCTGATTATATTAATAATTTTAGCGTCTAATTGTTCGCGTTCGTCTTGCTCACAATGTACAGAATCGGGCAGCAGCACCAGTGAAGAGAGCTCGTTTGAAAATCAATCTGATACTCGAGACAATTCGAGCACGAAACCACCATCTTATGTACCTCCTCTTCCTCTTAACTCTGATAATTGCCTAACAACTAATTTTAATCAACCGAATCCCACTACGTATAAACCACCTGTGATCCACGCTTCCATTCCTAATACATCTTACATAAATGATTGTTTTCGATACAATTACACTCCAAGGGCTACTTATGTTAAGGCGCCTCAAGTACCAACTAACTTTACAAAAATCGTCCTGCCTCCTCCTTTACCTTCGATGAATAGTAACAGCAAACCGTTTATGCAAAGTGCTGCGTTTGGCGAGAATTTCAATCTGAACCCGATCGTTAGTAACGCTTTCTCCTTAAACGGCAGCGTATTCAGCAATGCTACCATACAAACTACATCGTTTATGACGAGCACCAAGTTTACCAATCCTCAAGTATCCGATATTGCATCGTCTTCGAATAATAATTCAAAGAAACTCACTCGTTCGAGTCCCACTAATAGAAAAGTTGTGACACCTCCTTTACCTCGAGTGTGTCCAATCGTGAACTCCGAAGATCTCATATCGTTTAACATGGGATCAGCGACCGTGGCTGGCAGCTCGCCTGCTACTAGTTGCAGCTACACCAACAGCAATTTCGTTAATAATAACAAAAAGCACCAGCCTAAGGTGAAGTTTTCGGATACCGTTACTGCTTTTATCGTACCTGAGATTAAAAGGCCGCAACGGCCGGTGCCTTCGCCTCATGTCACCGATCCTCAGAAGGAATTGGCGGACAGCCTGCCGCTTTGTCACCCTAATGAGGATTATTTGAAGGATTTTACGCCGGTTAAAAAGGAGGACGGGAATGAGGAGGGAAACAACGAGAAGCCTAAAATTAAAGTTATTCATTTCGGAGTGGTCTGATGAGGTTTTGGATCAGAAGGGGTTGGAAGGAGCGGGATGAGGAGCAGGAGCTCTTATAGGAAAATGGGATGTTTGTATTATTTTTTCATTCGTCTTTATATTTTTATTATTTTACATTTATATAAAATATAATTAATACTCCCTTATATAATACTCTGAACATTTAAAGCAATAGTAAAATCTTCAGGTTAATTGACATTTGCGAAGACTGATTATCTGTATTTTAAATATAAAAAATCTAGGGAAAAACGAAATGGTAAAAATAGATAATATTCCAATTTTAATTAATATTGATTAAGCGTATTTTTACAAATAACACATTACTAATTTATTTTTTATTGATGTACCTACACGATTTATACATATAGGCTATTTACAAGGAATACAGTACTATTTATTTTTTACATGTATTATTACTATTTATACAGCTATTTTTATAATAAATTTTTTTCCAACAATTTTTGCGAAATATTCATAATTCCATAATCCCAGTATATGCCAAAAATTTTGGTCAGAATGTTGTTTCAAAAAATAATTAATGTTTTAATGACTCACTTGAGTTTTAATTGTGATAATATGTTGCCCCATATGGACAAGGTAAGTTATAAATAAAATTAGCTATTATTTAATTATTCGTTGTTTATATAAATCAATTTAACTTCAAAATTTGTCAAATACAGGGTGTTTTTTAATAACATGCTAATACTAAATGAGGTCATTCTTGGGCCCATTTTAGGAAAAAAACTTCATATGAACCTATGTCCTAAAGGTCTTAATTTTTGAGATGGATGATATTAAAGTTTAAAGAAAAAATTCAATTCTTTACTGTCATTTCCATACCACAAAGGGTCCAAGAAACACCCCCTTCAGTATTAGCATGTTATTAAAAACGCCCTGTATTTGTAGACGATTAATTCACACAAAGTGAATTTGAATCTAATCTATTTTTTCATTGACTAAGAAATATTCAATTGGTTCATCACCGAAAAATAATTTTTTACTGAACAATTTTATTGCATTACCTACTAAAAAAATACAAATTTATCCGTTTAGCTTATATAACTGATAAGATTATCTGTTAGTAACAATAAAAGTATCGCAAACAGTTTTGCACCGCGATGTGGCCCCTCTTTTTTCCCACTTTATGTACTTAATTATTATGTTGATAACATTTATCTCTACTCCAGTAAGTAGGTACCATAAAATTTCATTATCAACGTGTAGTGCCCTTGTTCAAGCAGTATTTTAGTTCATGTACACAAATTTTTATTGGTAAGAAATGAAAATCATTTGTGAATTCCCATATAAAGGGTATCCTACATATTTGCAGATATAGATCAATTATTTTGTAGTTGAATGCTACGCCATAGATAAATATAATTTTTTCACATATTTTTCTAATTTATTGCACTTTACCCGAAAAATTTATTTTATAATATTTTCTTTTTACGTCTTATACTTAATAATTGTAAAAATTATATTTCAGAAATGTTGGTTTATCTGTGCCCTTCAGATAAAAAATACACGTGTTCCTGGGAAGGTCCCGCAGAAGATATCCTCCGGCATTTTGAAGAGGAACACGATGAACTTCTTCACTTTAACGACACCTTCGGCATAGATCTACTGACCCCTTCGGAAAATAGACTTATGTTCATTGACGAAGAAATATACTTAACACAAATAACCGTAGCAGACAACAAATTGGAAATAAAATTGCGGTACTTAGGTCCCCAAACAATAGCGAAGAAAATAACTTATAATATTTTGCTAAGATTCTGTTCCGGTTTGAACCAATCTTTGAACATAACTGCAATCGAAAACGGGAGTATTATTGTCGATTTATGTGGAATCCCTAGTGAAATTAACTATGTGAGTTGCACTTTAAACATTAATAAAGATCGACTGCAAGAAACTGAAGATATTTTTGGCGAATATGTCAATAATCATGAGGTTTCAATTCAGCACTCTGTACCTGACGTAAGCCGAAAATACAGTTTAAGAGAACATTCGAGTACGATTGTTGTAAAAACAACGGAAAGCTCACTCACGAGATCTAAAACCATTAGTCTAGAGGAAATAAAACGGAGACACTTAAAAAGGGCTAAAAGTACAGTCAGCTTAGGGGCTATCACAGAAGATGTCAACGATTCCAACTGCACAGATTGCGGCATAACTCTTTCTCCTCCAATATTCCTCTGTCCTTGCGGTCACAGTTTCTGCTCCGGGTGCCAGAATTCCGTTTGCAGATTATGCTTGGAAAAAGTAACTTTCGAACGCAACTATCATCTGGAAGAAAAATTCAATAAGTTTCTAGTGCCATGCAAGTACAAGAAGAACGGCTGTCCTGAAAAATTGATATACAGCGAATTAGCAAACCACATAAAAACATGCACGTTTTGTGATTACACTTGCCCTGTAGCAGGTTGTTTCTTCGAAGGGCAGTATAAGCACACAGTGAAGCATCTAAAAATTATCCACGGGGCTACGAAAATGCTCGATTCCTCTTTCATCGTTGTGTTTCAAAATATTCCCGAAGCCTTTTTAGTCAACGAAGAGAAGGGCATATTCCACTGTATTGCCAGATACCTCGAGGACTCCGTAGTATGGGAAGCCCAATTCTGCGGGCCGAAAGAGAGAGTTTTCTTTTGCGAATTGAAGTTCAAAGAAGGTAAACTTAAGCAGCCGCTCTTTTTGAATAGAAACGAAAACTTCTATAGCACCGAAATGACCTTCCAGGAGTTAAAGAAGATGAAGATCAAAGCTAAAAACGCCATACTTACGATTACTTGTTGATTAAATTTTATTTCTCTGTAGAAAATGCTTTCATGCTTCGTAGATAAATTGTTTTGTTGTAAAAGAATTTGGGTTAATAATAGCCATTAAAAATATTTAGATTTGTATTAGTTATTACAATTTGTGTTTTATGTGATAAAAAACGTCAGTATTGATTAGGTACTTTAAGATTAAAAATATTTAAATTAATTTACAGTTGCTGTTTGTAATTTTGAAACTTAATTTATTATCTAAAAATTGTAATAGGACCTAAAGACAGTATTAATAAATTGTACTTATTTCAAAAACAATTTTATACGAAAATTTTATCTTCCATCAGGTTTTCCGAATTGTTCAATTACAAAATTGTATTGCTAAAAATTTATAAAAGAATGTTCCTACAATTAATCTTAATACTGTACATTATTACTTTCTAAAGAAAATTCGAATTTGGCTAACGTTTCTTCTGAAAAATCAATTTTGATATGCTTCTGTATATCGGTATCATTGACAAACCGATTAGAGAGTATTTAAGAGAGTAGTGCAATAACGTTAATCTGAAAAATACATCGTGTATAGATAATTCCTCTTAATTACAATGAATAAATCGATACCTACCTTTTATACCTTTGTTTGTGTAGCTTCGATTTCGCCATATCTTCCTTCAAAATGAACTTTTTCATACCTGTAAGCATATCTTTAAAATAAGCGTTCAAATCAATCGAATTTATATCGAAATTGAAAATCGCTTGGTCGTTTTCGTTCAATTTTTCCCATAACTTTGCCACATTGTCATTGTTTATCTCCCATTCCCTCAATAGGAAGTAACAGAGGATATCTGATGTTCTTTCTATTTTCATGTAAATATTTTTCGTTCTAAAAAATACAGTTTATACCTAAATGTTTTATAAAAACGCGTAAAAGAATTCGAATTTACCTCGTCTTCCTTGCTGACATAATCAGTAACGAATCCACCAAATAAGAAGGAATTGTATGCAATAAGAATTTTAGGGTAATATAACAGAATTTGTTTTCGATTAAGAACAAAACTTGATACCACATTGCCTTTTTGAACGGAGGAAAATCAGTTTTGTTGACCATGTTGAGATAATCATTAACTGACAACAATAATTTAGTATTTTTAGCGGAGTAGTTCATAACTGGAGGAAGGTAGTTTTCGTTCGAGCTTTTCCTAAAAATGTGACTTTGTACTAAAAATCAGATAAAATAAAGTACTATATACCATTTGTTTGATATATCCCAGGCAAAACAAATAATGGCGTTAATGCACATATCACCAGGCACTGTATGAGACTTTAAGTTACCATTAGCTCGAACGACGCGCAGGATTCCGCAATAAGAAGATAGGATTATACCCAAAGGACCATACAAATTATCCGACCAACCGGGAAGCGGTTCGGATACCGTAGAAGTGACTAAAAAATACCCAATACAAAAACAACTATAGCTTACAATTGTACAAACTCACCAATCGCTGGTCGAAAAAGCCCAACCGGTAAGTTTTTACCTTTCGTTAAAAGGAGATTTTCAGCCACTGCTTTTGAAAATACGTAACTATTAGGCCACTTTCCTATAAGTCTAAAAAATTCAATTATTTACTAATAACGCGCTAATTCATTTCATATTCAACCAACCCCTTGCTGATTTCGTTTAAAATATTCGAATCCAGCTCGTCGCTCATCTTAATGAGAAATTCAGGATTAACGGGAGGATCGTAAAATTTTTCGTTAATGGCACGTTCGTAACAGTTGGAGTAAGCCGTCGATATTTGAACGAAAGCATTGATGTTTTGATTATTTTTGATAAGATCCAGCAATTCCGATGTTCCTCTAACGTTAGTTTTGATCGCATCGCCCAATATCGAGTCCATGTTCAACGATGCGCCGCAATGAAATACAATATTAATCTGAAAACACGTAATTTAAGCGAAACAGAGTCGTAAAATGTCGCATTGTAGAATAGAAACGGCGATTTTCAGCGATATTTCGCGAATTCTTTAAACGGGATTCATTAAGATTATCTTAATTCGTTCGAAATAGATTTATGAGTCCCATTATTTAAAGCAATTAAAGTTTTCGTGTATTATTTTCCGAAAAAAAAAAGATTAGGTACACTGATTTCATTAATTTTAATTAGGTACGTATTTTCCTATTAAAAAAATACTGTGGTTAAATTAAAATTCGCCGTTTCCTAAAAAAAAATGTTAAACATCAATTAAAATTAATTAAAACCTTGTTTCTAATGATTTCTTTGTCTTCTTCGTTAAGTCCCAATTCCTTTTTCGTCAAATTGCCTTCGAGGGTATGGAGTTTTTTGAAATACTTCGATTTATTCTCGCGAATTTTATTTAGAACCTGCAAAAATTATCTAAATATTTTTATCAACAGAATGTTTCGGGATATTTTTCCAACATCCAATTAAAATGTTGGATCCTCCTACCACTTTTAAGGAGTTTTTTTAAATTAAATTGAATTTGACAATTTTTAAATATTATTTTTTACTCCATTATTACTATAGGTATAAAGGTGTTTAGAAAGAATGTGTTAATTTGAACGGCACTTGATAAGGTTTCAACAACAAAACTTTTAATACCATTTTTAAAATATTGCATTATGATAACTTTTAGAGTAGCTGATGTGTTGATGAATTTTCATTTTTATATTATATACTTTTAACTCATTTTTATTGAATCACCCTGTATTTTCGTCAAATATAATAACAAATTAATCTAATTTAATGATCATAAATCGCTGAATCGAAATTTGCGAGTTCAGATACAATTACCAAAACATATTTTAATGAGTTGCCTTTATACAGAGAGTTCAAAATTATGTTCTTTTTATAATATTCAATTTTTTTCAAAAAAAATCTGAACTTTAAAAAATAAGGAATACCCTGAATACTTGAATTAAAAAAATCCCTTCAAAAATAAATTAATTATCAAAAGGTAAAGGAGATACTAAACGTATTCCCCTTTTTATTTCATTCGAATTATATGAATATTTATTATCACCGATCGATCTGAAGATACTACCTAAAATTAAACAGTGCTAGTTATTGAATAAAGGATGTAAATTAGTTCGATGACGACCCTTTTAAATAAACTAGAATCTAGAAAAAATTTGTCGTTCTAACAACTCTCCTATTAATTATTCATCTTCCAATAAAAAATCGAATTTCGACTTAAATATTTCAAGAAAGACAAATTTTACTATCTAGAAAAATAAAATCGTGACATAGATTAACGACGGAAAACAATGAATTATTAATTTTATATGCTGCTAAGTACGTTTTCACCCTATCCAACTAAATTAAAATGAACATTTGGTAAATTATTCCCCCTACTAGCAATAACAGTAGACTAAACATTTGTTGTAGATATACCTCATGGTTTTTAAACACTTATTATTTTATTATGTATTTTTTTCGATATAGACGAAAATTTATATAAACCAAATCAATTGAACAGTCGATTCGATATATTAAATATGTCATTTTTAAATTACTTACCGGTTCATCGAAGAGGTTTTTGAGTCTCTCCTCCGGAGTCAACCCCTTCTTGGGCCTTACGATCAAATATATCCCCTCGACCTCACATGTCCGTAGCAATTTTTCTATGATCATTTTGCCTAGAAATCCCGTACCGCCCGTCAAGAGTACATTTTTGTTGTGGTAGAACGACCTCACGTCGCAGGACATAGCAAGCTGATTGAACGCGTACACCTCCCTCGGGGGTAGTGCAGGTTGTGTACTGGTTTGAATGGCGCGTTTATAGATTTGATCAAATATTTAGAATGAGAAAAGGATAGTCGTGACGTGGTATGAAACTGAAACCTTTACCTTCGTCGCCGATATTGATATTTCGTGTACATAGTGTACTAATAAAAGAGGCGACCTTTCGAGGTAATTATGCGAGCAGAACATTTTAATCTAATTTACAAACGGTTTTTTCATGCTTTGTGGATTTTTTTTGCGGAACGGAGTTTTATTTTTTATTTTAATTAGAGTTTTAATTAGAATCTTAATTAATAATTAACTTTATGAACGTACAATTCGAAATTACACTGTGTGGAAGATGAATCAGCGTTACATTGAAACAACATCTAATTCTTTATCTGGCATTCACAATTAATTTAAACGATGCTTGTTAATTGGAAACGTTTAAAGTTGTTCTAACATCTCTTGGTAACAACGCCTTCAATTCTTTTTACATTTAACGCCGCAAACATTCCTCAGAGAGTTACTGTGTACACTTTTTAATAGGTAAGTTTATATTTTTTTATTATATTTTAATGGTTATTTCAATTTGGATTAAAATTTAAGGTGAATGAACTATGCTCAAACCATCGACGATCACTTCAATTTTAAGTTTAATCAGCCGTAAATCGCTGCTATGTTGCGTTTTAATATTTTTTGTCTCGTTACCTGAGGTTTGGAATGAAGAAACACTCCGCGATGGTTATTACTTAGATGATTTGATTGATGTTGCAGCAGGAGAGAGGTATTAGATATTCTATATAGAATTTCAATGTTAAACAGACTCTTTGAATTGGAGTAAAATTTAATTTTAGTAATACCGGTGCATTAATTTGTCCGTCTTCGAATGTTATTACAACCAAGTACAAATGCAAAGAGAACAGTTCGTGGATTGATTGCACAAGGAAGCATTGCTGTCCCAATTACGTGTATATTGCAGGAAGGTTAGGAAAATGGTAATTTCATATAATATCGATTACTAAAGGTTCCTTTGCATTTTAGATGCTTACATAAAACAGAAGATCCGTGTTCTCTAAATTTTTGCGAACAACTTTGTTCTATATACATGCAAAGAATAATTTGCACTTGCTACCATGGTTACAAATTTAACCCGGAGAATCAGAAGAAGGGTATAACTCCCGTCTGTGTGGGTAGGTTACAAAAATACACTTATTTTCCTATTTTAAAACTTCTTCATTTCAGACATAGACGAATGCCAAGACAACAATGGTGGTTGCCAGCAAATATGTGTGAACAAACCAGGGGGCTACAGCTGTGGCTGCAGAGAAGGCTACAAACTTAGAAATGATAACACCACTTGCGTTCTTGTTAATACTTCCGATTCTTCCATTCAAGCCGCCTTTTTCGATGCATGTTATGCCAATTGCGATAGTCTAGTCAAACTGCAGAATCAAATTAATCTGATGCAAGAAAAAGTATGCACTAAATATTTTTTATTACATTTATTATACTTACCTTACTGTTAATTTATTTTAATTTCTGAGGTAGCAGCACTTAGCACGGCCATACGTTTATCCAGCTTCGCTTCGGGACCACCAGGGCCTATTGGACCACCGGGGCCACCTGGTCCACCAGGTCCAAGAGGTTTTCCAGGTAAGAATAAATCGAAAACAATATTCCAATAAAATTTTTGGATGATAACACATATTAATGTTTTTTTTAATTTTAGGACAAGATATGTCGAATAATATAAACTCAAATTTAGACTATACTTATTCCATGGTAGATACGTACATTCAATTACCAGGCGAGGAAAATGCACAGTGTGTCTGCAAAAGAGGTCCGCAGGTACGCTAGTAGTTTCTTTAATCAGGTATTAAACACTGATAATGTTTTTCTTTAGGGTCATATTGGAGCAACCGGCTCTCAAGGTCCTAAAGGAGAAAGAGGAGATAGAGGTCCCAAAGGTCCAAAAGGAGACAAATGGTCAATTGATTTCTTTCTGCTTATGCTAGCCGATTTAAGACATGATATTGTTCATTTACAAAACAAAGTTTATATTAATGAAACGTAAGTTATTTTAATAATTTATTAATATTAATTGTGTAATTAATGCGTTCAAATCGTATGGTAGGCCGCCGAAATTCGATTTTGAAACTGCACTTCAAAAGAAACGATTCAAACAGAAGCACCAATACATCCATCACAGGAAGATACTTGAGGGATATGTAAATCCTCCTGTAACTACGATTAAAGCGGGTGCAGTGGAACCTACTCAAGTGAGCAGTAACAAAGGGAATAATAACGAAGATATCGAAGAATTTAGAGATGAAACAATACCGGTTACAGAAAATCCGTTAGTTTTAATAGACGAAAGCGATATCGAAGACTATGATGATTTATCGGATGAAATGACTTACAATGACTATTTGTGATATATTTATTGTAGTTTGTTCAAAATTTTACTGTATTTGATAAAACTTTGAAAGTAAAATACCTCATCGTGTAGCAACCGCTTCTTTACGAAATTTTTGTAAACACTATTCTTTTCCAATTCTTATTTACCCATCCCCGAAAAAAGACTCCATTAATATAATAGAGAAAAGTTTAAATTTGTACAAGTGAGTTAACAAAATTTAACATTTCGAACATACTTCGACCAAAATCGCTATATAAACCAACAATAATAGAATACCATAAATATTTGAAAAAATACAACATAACAGTTTGTCACGTTACTGGACATTATTTGAATTACAATGATACTTCATCCAAACAAAATTATTTAACTAAAATTTTATCTAGAGATACCTAATATTTATATGTATATACAGATTAACACATAATATAATTATTATAAAATATTTTCTTAAATTTAAGTATTTTTATGGGTATTAAAAAATGTTTTTAACACTTATATAATTGTTTGAAATTAAAAATGTAATGTAATATTCTGGAATGAATTATTGCAAATATAACGCCTATAAGTACTACATAGGTTTCAAATTGTAAAAACTTAACGAACTTAGTATTTCGAAAAAATGAACAAACTTTGGTCTGCAATACAATTAGATCTATTTACAATATACAATTTTTACATTTTAAAAATTCCAAAACAATAAATTACGTTAGAATTTTAGGTACTCATAAATAAAAAATTATCACATTCATTAAACAAAAAAAGTATTTAGTTTCCAAAATAAGTAATATTCTAACAGTAAGTTTTGATTTACGTATTTTTTAGTCCAACAAATACCAATTATACTATAAAAATTACATAAATGATAATATAAATAAAAATAATCATCACTAGTTACTCAATTCACCAATTACTCATTCTTAAAATCCATTAGATTCGCCACATTTAAAAATAAATTCGTTTTTATCACACCCTCTCCATCAGTCATTTTACAATCCTTAAGTTCTGAATGTAAAAATCGTCACCCAAATTGATGCCAACCACAATGGCTTCAGCCCGTCTCCACCGCTCGAGGATTTCACCCTCAGCTGTCCATCATCAGACATCACGCTACTAGCAATGACGATTGGCTGACCGGAATGGGCAACGCTGGTGATCTCCTGGGACGGGCAATTGCCGCTGAGGGGCATCAATGGGGCGCCAGTGTAATTATCGAGGCCTTGGCAGCGCAATCGGTGCTCACCGAGGCACGCGCTGTAAGCTATAGCGTGAGGAATGTAACTCTGGTCAAATGTACCTGGAATAAACCCAATTAAATTTCTGGAAAACTTTAATCGACTCACTTTAACGCTTCAACAAACTAAAATCAATTGGATTCCATCCCCTACTCCATTAAAATTGAATAGATTTCGTTTGTTTATTACTTAATCGCCTCTCCATTAATTCGGCTGTGTCCTAACAAACAGACCCAATTAACGAAATTCGTTTAATTTTATTACCCTAATTAGAAAGAGTTACGACCGACGTTGGTTGCTGAACTTGACTGTAGGGTTAAAATTGTTTCGTATGAATTTTGACGAGGGATTACTCAAAATTTACACTCGAAATATTACTTCCCGTCCAGTAACTGAGAAGGGCTCGATTCTAATCAGATTATTCCGCGCTAATCGACTGACATTAAAGTGGTTAACCGCTCGAATAAAAGGAGGATGGTAATAATTGAACATTTGACGAAGCTTGTTGTTTTTATTACGCGTTTCCGAATAATTGGAATGGAAAATGGAAAAAAGTGTCACTAAAATCATAGTGTAGTGGCTAACCTGCGAATAACGTCGTGGCCAAAGGTCCCAAGGCGTATACTGGGACGTCTTCTCCACCGTGCGTGGCCCATTGTCTGGGCACCGCGGACCCGTGCACCTGGTTTCTGTCCTCTGCGGCAGAAGTCGTATTCATGGGCACGATCCGGGGCGTCGCAAATCCGGGTCCATTTCCGTACAGAATGGTGGTGTAAGGTTGCCCGTCCACGTCCGATACTTTACTGTCAGGACCTAGTTGAAGATAATTTATTGTTTCACTAATACATTAATTACGTATGTAACAGTTTGATATGTATAAAAAGTTTTATAAAGAATGGTATAATTTTCTTTTCAATAATACCGGTCATTTTTTATATATTTCGCCGAAGGCGGGGAAACCTCATGAACAACTCGAATCAATTTTCTCTGGTATTATATTCACATTTTCGATATGAAAAATAACACCCGATCGTCTCGCCGTGACGGACGGCCGGGAACAAAAAAAACCAACGTCTCCCAGTATCCCTTTTAGCGTTGTTTATGCTCTATGGGGATAACCTTACTATAAAAACGTCTAGCGAATTTTCCTGTTTTTACGCCCAAAAAGTTATACGAACGAGTATAAGGTGCCCTTATTTCGTGTTTATGGGAACGTTTATTCCAGATATAATTGCAAGGCTCAGTTTGCTTTGAAACACACAAGCGTAGGAAAGATTTTACCACAACGTATTTTTTTAAATATATAAAAAATAATAAGCATAATAAACCCTGTAAATAATTAACGAAATGAAGCTTGAAAAGAGCTTTTCTTTCACCGTTAAATCGTCGTTGCGAGTTTTAGAAAAACACAAATCTCCCAGTAAAACTTACCGAGAATAGGATGTCCTCTCGGAGTGGCTTGTCCACCCATCGTTACAACGTGAGAGTGATCCGACGTGACGATGATTAGCGTTTCTGTGGGATTAACGAGCGCCAAAGCTGCTAACAGAGCTGTTTCCATTGCCAGCGTTTCGTCTAACGCTCTGTAAGCGTTGTTGTAATGATGAGCGTGGTCTATCCGTCCACCTAAATCGAATTGCATTCGGTAACATCAAATCGCGGTACAATCAAATATTAATAATTATTGTGTCGAGTCGAACTTTGTATGAAATGGTATTAGAGGTAATAAACTTTGATGTGTGAGCGGTTTAGTACGTACAATATTCAATTTTATTTCAAAAAATAATAACTGTCCAATTCTTTTTTTCGTATAAAAGCGACTATCAGCGAACCAGCGTGATTAAAGAACTGGTCAATCGGCCACCTTGCCGAATTCGGCAGAAAAATTTCTGATTGATTTTGCCGATTGAAATCCGTTTTGTAATTCTCGGCTCGTACGAGACCCCGCAGGACAGACATTTCGGTCTCGAACAAGTGGTAATCTAATTGAAAGAAGGATTTAATTGAATGGAAGAAGTTTCGCCGTACCTGAATACTGAGCGCGAGATTTCCGTTGCCATTCTACTATAGGTATAGAGATTTTGTATCAAGTAACGCTCACATATGCTCAAATTACTTTTGAAAAGTAAATTGTATATACTATGTTGTACAATCATCCAGATCTGTGCTCTTGCGAGGACTTAGTAAATAAAATACTGAGCTTAAATGTATGCAGATGGTGCAAACTAAATCATTTACATCGATATGGAATTACTATCTACATTTAGAATGTGGATTTAGTGATCCATCGCCGTCACGTAGAGTTTACGAATATGTCGAATCTAATGCACATATTGGAGTTTGATCGAGTAGCCGGTTACCTGAGAACAAATGCCAGTAGATATTGGTACATTCCAGTAAGTCAACAAACATGGTTCTGGATGCAAACAAAAGCCAGTCTAACCGATTTATATGCGCTCTATAGAAAGGAATATATTACCTTCTGATCGTGAGCTGCAGCAAAATTATTCGATTTGTTCTTTGTTCTCCTGTATTTTTGTAGAGCGAACATAACAGATCATGTATTTTTTATTTTTTTGCGAAGGCTATTATTCTTGTAATTGCCACATAAATCGTCTACAACGTAGCATAATAATATGCTTATTTCACTACATTTCCAACTAAATGCTCGTTTAATATCTTTTAGTAAACATGCACATTTTGTCAACTAAACGTTGTACAAAATACTTCTTTGTAGTGCTTTATACAATTTCCATAAAAAGTATTTCCTCCCAGTGTTTACATGAATTTTAATTCAAAAATATTAAACTTCATTTTAGCAAACCGAGCGCAAATTAAACTCAATACATTGCAGCTTTTTCAGCGCTGCAAATTGTTTTTGAAGATTTGCCAAAAGGTTTTTTAAAGTACAATGTGATCTAACGAGCGGGAAGCAGTTGCAACGTAAAAGTGACGTTTTTCACATCGCAAACTGGAAAAATGTAAGAATCGTTTATACAAGACGAATTAATTTTGTTGTAATAATAAATTCTAATTTCGGAAGCCCTATTACTTACCGGTTATTAAAGACGTAAAATACAGGCACAAATTACGCTTCAGCTGTGTCATACATAAATAGCATGGCATATTAGGGTATTATTCAGAAATTATAGGGGCCGACAGCTCGTTGAAACCCATTTGCATGATAAATATTTACACCCATAATTCCGCATTCTTACCAGTTGCTCCTCTTCCAACCAAATCTCATAAGTAATCTAAACTTATTTAATTAGGCTTAATTGCCTCATATAGGCACACATAACTTAATTTATTACAACTGTTTTTCGTCTACCTATAACTTTGCCTAGTTTCATGTATCCATAAAATAGAAAAAAATCCATAGATAAATCTTTTAAAAAGCTCTTCCTGTATAGATCATTTCTACTACTTCTGCAGTTCCTGTGATATGGGGATGCATAAAAAACTGTCGCACGCTGCACGAAATCTGCGCCGGGCACTGATTTACCGAGAGAATTGCAATCTCATTTCTGCAGTTCAATTTGGCCCGCAGGACCGCCATCAGGAAAGATTGCATGCATTTAAGGGTGGCTCAAAGGGAGCAAGGGAGACGACTCTCCGAGGGGAAGCGATTATTCACAAACTTCGGTTAAATTTTGATGCACTAACTATACATTTACTTGACCCTTAGGGCTCTTCCGGCCGTGCAAACGACCTAAGCGTGATTTAAGGCGTCGAATATGTTTCGGTTGATTAAATCCCCGGCGAGTTTATGCTCTTACTTTGATGCCTTGATGAGGAAGTTTCGATGAAGTGGGGAGTTCGGTGTTGTGAAACAGGATAATGAGCGATCAAGAATTTATTAAAATTGATTTATAGTTTAGCAAATAGTTTAAAGGTTTTACACAACATTAAAATTAAAAAATGATTGTCATGGCAATGGTGAAAATGTGGAAACAAAAATTCTTTTCATGAGTACAGAAACAAACAAAAAAAAATTAACTCACCTTCTACTACCAAAAAAAATCCTTTGGGGTTTTTCAGCAATATGGAAAGAGCGGAGCGTGTCATATCGGCCAACGAAGGGTCTCCTGTGGCTCCTGGATCCCGATCGGCCTCAAAGTCCATATGAGAATACGAAAATAACCCTGCGGACCGGCATTTGCAAACAGATTAGATGAAAATAGAACGAAACACGTTTGAACATGCATCAAATAGAAGCCTTTTACCTCTATGGGAAATCAAAATAGCAGAATCTAATATCTGTATATTATATTTGTTGTGAAAATAAACACGCGGGGATGATGAAGCCAAACTCCTAGAACTGCTGTGCATTAGTGTATATTTAACATATTACACACTACACAGATCAATAACTAGTTTATATGTACAATCTAAGCTTCGTATAAGTTGTCAGTAATTTAATTAACAATTTCTGAAACTTGGACAACGTGAACAAAGTTTCCAAAACAATGGACTATTAGTGCCTAGTTTTCTGATATACCATGAAATCAAAGAAAATTAAGGTCGGTTCCTTCGAAGCAAATAATATTGTTTACATGCCGTTCCAAGACATTAGATTCGGATCCAAGATAAATAAGAGGATAACCTTAGTCAAATAACTACATCAAAGTTGCTCAATTAAGTACAAGGAAAGTAAATTCGTATGTCTTCTATAATCTTTAGTTTATACGGGGTGATTGATTGGGTTCTTGGAATCGAACATTCCATCGTTACATCCGTAGAAGCGGGAACGTACGCATTAGAAACGGAGGAATTTGAGCTATGTTAGAGGTGGCTTTCACGGAAAGGCTTCTTATTATACATATGCAAAGCCCTACAAAACAGAGAGGGTCCATATATTACGCCAGTAAATATATTTGCGACATGCAAACAAACCAGTAACTATTTATTCCAATATTCGTTCGATCGATAGATTGATTTGATGGAATACATGACAAAGTGAATAGAATATTTAATTTATTAAAAGCAAAATACCTATCAAGCAGTGTTTTATCCGATGAAAAGTACTTTATTACGAATATACTATAATGGAAATAATAGGTAAAATATCAATTAAGGCTTCTTTTTGATCACAAAAGTTTCATTAGTATAGTTGGTGGTTTTATTAACACCAAGTTTCTTCGGATAGTAATAAATAATGACGCACTTACCTAATAAATAATCCACTTGATTGGGGTCGATCTGATCGAGTTGTCCCTTGTTCCAGACGTATTGGGCCTTTAGAGATCGTTTTTTCTTGTCTCTGACCCAATCGTCTATGAGATTCCGACCGTCTAATCGCCTACCTTCTTCCTTAGTTAATTCGGGATCGTGGGCAACTTTGGGCAACCAGTGGCGTCGACCGCCACCCAGCAAAACCTAAAACAAAATAAACCTGCATATATCTTTTTTATTTATTCATCCCAAGAGTTCCTTTCTACTGCACACGATAAGAGAAACCAAACGGATTAAAAAGGCAATTTTCTGCTTGTTTCGATTTATTTACAGCCGCTTGTTTAGCCATATCATCGATATGAAATATGGATCATGCCTCGGCGTAATTTATTTTTAAAAGTCTCTAAACAACTATGCGTTATAATGGAGAAGAGAATAAAATGGAAAATGGGATCAAGCGAACGAGAAAACCAAGAAAATGAGCTGCTGCCGAGCGGGAATTGGTACGGTTATACTAGATAAAAGCAGATTTTAGTTGGCCGATATTTTTAAAATTTAAAATTCAATCTACTGTAAATATCCTGAAGGTAGATTGTTTTTTCGAAAATAATAATAAAATATAGTAGGGTATATTAGACAATGTTAATATATTCTTTTGTAAAATGTAGCGCGTTTTAGTTAATAATATTCAATTCTTTCCTATCTATGTATTGTTTTTGAATAAGATTTACAGTACTTTTTACTTATTGCAAAATTTCAATGACCTAAGTAAATTAACCTTTCCAGTTTACAAACTTTGGCGGTGACCAAAGTTCATTCGCCATTATTTTAAATTTTTTTGTTTTATTGTGGATAAAAAGGAATTTAACATTATGATATAGGTGTGCACTTTTCAATCAGAGAATAATGCAATGTAAACAACATCCAATTGTTGGCCAATTTGGCAGAATCTCCATTGTATTACCATATACATTTCAACGTTCTGGAAACTGGATAGTTGGAAATTTCAATTGACCCCAGCCGGTTGATCCAATTTCCCTCTCCTTTCGCCCATGGGAAATAGCTCCAAATTAACGTTGGCATAAACTCAAATGAAATATAATCAGGCTCGATTCACTGTTAATGCCTTTTAGGCGACCGTAAATCTATCAGCAAATTAGTCTCTTGGCTAAAAAGATATACAATAGCGGCGCGTAATGGAAATTCTTTTTGTAATGAATTGCGTCATGCATCAAAGTCAGGAATACAACATAATATCGGCAAATTGAGCAAATATTTTACTCTATTTTTTAATTATTTCATTTATAAAACCTCCAATTTAATGTGATGATGCAAAGTTTCAATAAACTAATTAACAATGTTTATTTATGAGCGCTTCAATGTGTCTAATAAATTCGAAAAATATTATGAAACGTAGATGGATCGAGATTTTCGTAAAATTAGATATCGTAAACTCAAAACTCTTAAATTTTGAGGAGCAACGAAAAGTTATTGTTCTCTCTACAATATGCCTTAATAAATCCTTTTAAATCGGCAATCAGTCGAAGAAAATCCCTCCTATATTCGACCTCGAGTATTACTGATTATACTTTTAGTTGATTTATGAAATATGGCTCTAATTGTGATGAAAACAACGTAAAACATTTCCCCAGGCGCTTCCTTGTTCTCAGTGATTTTTCCATGCGTAGATAATCCTCAATCCGACATCCGGAGACTCCACAAACACACCTGCTTATCCCACGAGGTGTATCTAATCCAGAAAATATATAAATTACCTTGTCAGTACAAACACTAACGGTGAACAAACAATAGAGACCAGTGCTGTAGAATAAAATACTTTACATACTTTTAAAAGAAAAAAAAATGGGATTTTTAATAGAATAGTTATTTTTGTAAATTATTAAATTGTATCTATTGTACCAATATAAAAATAGTAGGTGAATTAATCCTTTATTAAGAAATATTCAGTGTATATTATTTTATGTAAATAATGAAAAAAGGATATATTGGTATAATTATGTTGAATTTGTTTGTTATAAAATACACCCTGCTCTGCCATTTAGAGTATATACAAATTACCTTGTCAGTCTGGATGCGAATAAATACAATAAATTTCCTCCACATCGTGTACCAAAATTTTCTCAGCCATGAATAGTAAACACAACCCAATTCCGTTGTAATGCCACTAAAATTTTGAAATATGGGATAACATTTACACTAAAATTTAGAGGTGCTGCTGTAAGCTTGCACTTTAATTAATATAATAATTCCAAACGTATAAGCTTTAATTTATAATTACAGAAATGCAATAACGTAATAAATTTACTAATTACATGAAACGCAACGATCAAAATTATAATCTAAATAGAAGTAGCTAATTAGGTACGAAGTTAGTATTAGTTTGCAAATAAATTAGTCTGTTTAGATATAAAATAGAATAACAAAAAACTACCATATCCTTGGTAACCCACGTAAATTTCATTTACACTGATTTTGATAGAAGTTGTATTTTTTCGCTAATTTTTTTACAACATGGATTCCTCGAGCGAGAACAAAGAAGACTTCGACAGTCTGAAAGAAAGTTGCCAACGCCTGAAAGAAGAACTCGACAACACTAAATGCGAATTATTCGAATGCAAAAGCACGCTCAAAGTGTTGACGTCCATGCAGGACGATTACAAGAAGGAAATAGATCAATTAGAATCCAACGAGATCGTGCAGAAACAGAAATTCCAAGAGGTCATCAAGCATTTGGAGCAAAGCATAATCGACATTAAGGAAAAGTTCAGCGATGACAATTTGACGTTGAACAAAGTTATTAGCAGCATGGAGGAGCTAAGGGCCAAAGTAACGTCCGAAGATTGGAATAATAATCCTATTAGCTTCGCCGGCGATACTGGTGCTTACATAAAAGGACTACTCGCGGAGTCAGAGTCTAATTATTATGAAGGTTTGAACGAAGGAGATTACGTAGACAACTATTCTTAAATCAGAGTAAATTTCTCGTGCTGTATGCATCAAATGTATACATACTCTTGTTTCAATTATTTATTATTTTATGTAATATTTCAGTTGTAAAGTAAATATTATTTTAACAAGCGACTTAATACTTTCCAATTGATGTTGCTCCCAGTATTATAGATTTCCAGTGATAGGTAAGTATAGTGCAATTTAAATGAAAATTTCTAATTTACATATTTTAATCTCTTTGTTTGCTCATGTAATATAACGTTTCTAATCTAGAAATTGGTTGGGGTTTATTGATTGGAAAGATATCGTAGTAAATCTAGGAGTATCGGATAAGCGATGGCTTACCGGTATTTACCCTGCATTTACGTCAATAACATCTTTCCAATCGGGATGATACAGTAAGCCTTCTCTCTTGAATTTTAATTTGTATTCAACTAGCAAGGCGATAGTTAATTTTTTATAAATAGGTTGCATGTATTAGTTTCTACAAAAGGATTATAAATTAGATGAATGAGTTAAGAGTTTTTAATAAATCATCCAACCATTATTTGACTGCATCAAATCACGTTCTTTAAAAACGCCTTCCTCTGCCCTATCGCGCACTTTGTCAAATTATTCATACAAATTCCACGGAATCGCTATTGCCTTTACGCCCAATTTCCTCTGATATTCGCCCGGAATTCCGCTGACCGCCTGTCCTTTACCCCTCCCACATCGATCGGCGGCTTCAATTTAAAACTCTGGCTCTTTTATGGCTTCAAATTCAATCTGCGCGGACACTAATTGTTGACGAAAACATTATTTCGAAAACCTTCTGAGCATCAAGCCCGTACCAATGTTTGATAGTCCGTGGGATAATACACTTGCAATTGGAAATAGTAAAGAGAAAGAAATAGAAGAGACTTGCATGGGTTGGGACTATTATTACAAAAAACTATTGTGTGGAATAAATAAAGGTTTGATCTGTAGATTACTAACTATAAAGCTTTAAAATATAAAAATTTCTTTAGGTTATTTCTAACGTTTGAAGATTGTATGTAACTAATAATCAAAAGGTTTTTTCGCACTCTTTTAGCTGAAAGGGACATTTCAATACGGTTTTTCGAATTTATTTCGCCTGTTACTATGTTGGTAATTACACGTTTGAGCTTTGCTTCGTTCCTTTAAACGGAGAATTCCATGTCATGATTAAAAATTCATTATTACATTTCTCGATGAAAGAGTCTTTTAATCCGCTTTTGCGTGCCAAAACATGTAAACTCTTAATAACAAGTGGAGGGAATGTTTATTGGCACGCTAGTTACGTCATTCAAACCTATGTAATTGGTTTCCGTTGGTGAATTCTCGCACAACCATCGTTTGCGGATGCGAGCTCGTTCTCTCGCTTGATGCCGAGCTTATTTAATTGGAAGATAACTTTGTCAGGAGTTCGCATCGCAACAAAAAACAGAAATGACTGTTAAAATCTGCAGAAACGCGGACAGTAATTTTGCGCCATAGAAATAACGGATTCAATGCAGCGATGTAACCAATTACGTATTCATATTTACTCTACGAATTATTTGTTTGATTGCAATGGAACGTACGAGACGAGAGGGTTTAGCGAATCAAAAACAGTCGCTCATTAAAAAAAACAATATGCGCCTCGATGTTTACCATCAGGCATACCAATGCATACATGCATAGGTATAGATTTACCTTCTCGAATAACACACGGGAGAGTACGCCGACCGACAATCTGCATTTGATATCGTAAACATCGATACAATTAATCTTGTAAACACAAATTAAACATTCCAGAACCGCATTGACTATACCCGCTCTCTCCACACTTGGATAGACTATTCGCTCGCGCATTCAATCACTGTGTGTTTAGTCACGAAGGCAATAGAATGGTGATAATTCGATGGCTTCGAACAACAGGTAACGAACGGGAGAATGATCTGCGATTCTTCCGTGTGACTTATTTGCGACGTCGAGGAAGCCATTAATCAACTATTACATCAGATAGCGACGAATGATTCGCAATTAATCAATCTCAAGTTGATTAATTCAATAAAAATATTAGTGCGTTACCATTATATGAAATTGAGTATAACTACTTACGTTAATATTTCGTCCTGGGTCGTTCTCTATTAGCTGCCTAGCCAGGTCCTTGCAGGATTTTCTAGCTGCAGGAGGTACTTTGGAATCGTCCTCCCAATATCTGGAGGGCGAATGGCCGTAAAGGGCTGCAGGTGTGGCGTGAGTTATTCTCGTATTCGTTACTATGCCTGTCGATTTTCCTGCAAATTAAAAATTGTTGGATTCTAAAAAGTCGACTACACTTTTACTCCTAAATTATGGCGGTTATAAAAAGCGACATATTGGATAATACAATGAAATTCCAGTTTTTTGAGTTTGAGTTCTTTCACATACTGAATTTAAAATTATATTAAACGAAGGATGTGAGCATCGATAAAAAAATTGTTAGAAATAAAGGAATTTTATAAATTTATAACGTTCGAAATTTAATTTTATTGAAGCCGGATATTAATAAAACGTTAATTAAAATATCGCATGTCATTTTTATAACGTTTAATAAATCGAAATTGTGTGAGCTATAGTAGAAATAAATCACATGCAGAAATAAAGCACAAAGGACATATACATAGGAAAGGAAGATTATTATACTCCACAAAGTACACTACAGTTAACCCCAATGCTTGATATAATTCGTATATGATGAATATTTTCTAATTGTTTATTCACTTCGGTTCAATTTTAAAATTAATTAACTTGTAAAGACACGTTTATTATAGTATTTTATTAGATACCTAGTTAATAAAATACAGACAATAAATTTCAAAAATATCTTTATTTTTATTATTATTCTGAGATTATACACCTAAAGTCATTCAAGCCTTTAATCGTTAAAAATTTTTATTAAAGTTGGTGTGAGCGAAATTCTCGGGAGTTTCAACTTTTATTTACTACTCCAAAGTGCTATAATAAAGTTGCGAAAAACTTCCGAAAATTTATATTCAATTATTTGCACTTATCTGAGGGATTTTCATTCGTTATTGCACTCAATCAGATATATAAATCAGTTTTAATAATATTCCCCAGGGATTACTGCAAAATCATGATTACTTTACTAACTGGAACATTTAGTTTCTGCGCCAAAAATTATGTTGGTGAAAATAAATTTATCTTTTTCTGCTAGATGGTTATACTATTAAAATTATTTAAATATAATGAAATTAACTTATATACAGTGTGGGTTTTGTAACCTGAAAAAATAATTAATAAGTGCAGTTGTAACGTGGCAATTCAATAAAAAAGTATCTATTGATTTCTCTATTACGGATTTTAGAACTTTCCGAAAGAAGTAAGATAAAGTTTTATAGTGTGGTACGTGCCTATAAATTAAACCGTAATTTTTATAAAAGTACTCTTATTTCAGAAATATCCATAAACTTTAAAGAGATCTTCAGAACTTCAACAATTCAAAATCAAGAAAACGAAACGCAATTCACAATAAATATAGATGTATATCCGCAGTTCCTTTATCCCGGAATCTTCGATCTCGGACAAGTTTACTGCGAAATATACCGAGTTAAGGACGAAAATATATTTCCATGAATGGATTATGTTTCGGTTCCGTACGGCTGTGTCACAAACACGAAAATAACTCATAAAAATCCAACCGAATCCTCTTCTTTCTGACGTAGTTTTCTTATACTCTCGACGAAAATGCTCCGATGAAATTTTCGGGCGAATTTTAGACGACGACTGGAATAAACCCGAAAAACGCATAATTTCCATGAAAGTTTCCAGGGAAAATTATTTTCAGCGTAAATTTATACAAACCAAAAATGTTTGTCTTATGCATTTGGATTTATTGTATGTTACATTTAAAAATAACTTGTGTACTTAATATTGCACTGTTGCAAGGGATGCTTTCTAGTTTAGTAGTTTATTTACCCTTATTTATTCAGTTAATCATAATATATCTCAGGTATACACAAATAGATAAACTAACTCCATCAATTGTACGTACTATACATAGGTATTAACTACTGTGTGAATAATTATCTACCGAACAAACATATCAATTTCAAATGTAATTCTATTCAAGGGAAATTGATTATGATTATGCATAGGGCTGTAGGTTATCTTCACCTGATTCTTGTGCCCAGTCAATCAACGATGGTACCCTAGAAGAAAAGCTCGAAAAACAGTTTTCGAATCGTCCTTTCGCGTCCAGTCCAACTGTCTCGAAATTTGTTTTAACGCCACACATTAGGGCAGTCGCACAGGCTGATGATTCACCAATTTGAGCGTCCATGTTAAAGGTCTGCAAACAGAAAAGCCACATTAAGTAAATAGAAGAACTGAACTATGCAAGATATCTACTAAAATAAATGGCCATTAGTTTTATCAGCTTTTTATCGTCGTTAAAAATTTATCATTTCACATCAAATAGGTTTGTGCCAACATCAACTTTGATCTCATAACGACGACATCAAATTCCCCATTTATTGAATTTTTCAATTAGATTTTATTGCAGCGGCGCGTTCTGCCAAAACCTGGCTCTGAGCTCGAACGGGAAACACGAAAACAAACAAGCCAAAGTTATTTGTATCCGGTAATGCTCGTTTCGATTTTCAAAGCCCGGCGAATTCGCCATCAACTGTCGAACGTCGGCCTGCTCTTCAGAATTTCGAATTTCGTGTTTACCTACACACACAGAGCGCGGCGAATCGACCGTACGCCGACGGTTCCGCGATTCCTACGGAATGCATTCGGTGCGCTAATTTGAGTGGTGACGTATTCCACTGGTGCAACCGCTCTCTAAACTAGAACGATGCAATCGTGGTGATGTCGAGTAGGATTTCCTGCGGGCTTTCCAACGCTGTTACGCGAAAAGAACTCATCATACCCCAGATGAATTGCTGCTCGTATGTGCAATTAGGTAGAATAATATACGAAATAATCATTAATTTACCAAGCGGAAAATTTGTAGAATGTAATATTTATATTTGGCATAATCTAAGTATACATTAATACAAAGTATTGCAGGTTGAGATTTATTTATATATTTGTATTCAAAGTACTGAATGAGTTCCACGAACTTCTTCTTGTACACGTATTATGTTAATTTTCTTACGCACGATCGAATGCGAATGAAGTTTATTCAATTAAAACAAATGGGGGAAAATTAAGGCAGCATTCAATATTAATAAATAGGTTTATCTCTTTCTCGATCAAATTTCCTGGCGGCTCAACTGCAACGAATGTTATTTATCCTTTAGAAAACGGATATTCAATTAGGTACAGTAAGCTGAGCAACACAACTCGGACAGAAACCATTAAAATTAGTTTGCCAAAACGGATCGTATGCGCATGAAACGAATAAGTAAACTCCTGTATCAAATACTTAATTTATGATAGTCTGCCTGCGCTTAAACTTTTAATGAAATACGTAACAAATTCCCGACGTTAGAATAACTTTTGATCCCTTACGTTTCTGGAATACAGACACGCCATTACTTCCTTACAACATCAGCATGCTTTTTGAAACAATTTAGAACGCCTGGAAAAAGTAAGTACCTTGCTGAAAGTTTATATCGCATTTAAAACGCGAGTCTTACAACAATATCTAAATAAGCTGTTGGCCGAGAAGATGGATGAGTTTGAGAAAATACTTACTTTAGCTAAAGCTACAGCAGGAAAAGAATCCCACGCTAAATCGTGATCTTCGCCCTTTTTGCCCAGCCTCTGCCCTCTAAGAATACGTGCCGCCGTTACAGTAGCTACTCCCAAGCCGTCACCAACGAATAAGACTACATTTTTTGCGTAAGGGCGCCGTTCGGATTCCATAGTGTACTGGAGACGCTTGCGAAGGGCTATCCTCGCCTGCTCGTACCAGTATTCTTGGTCTGAAACAAAGAAACGCCATAAAAAATTCAGTCAGTTCACGTGTTAACGAAGCCATCTCGAAACGCATCAATTTGATTTCTCCCAGCGACGTCAAAATTCTCGGATAAAAAAAAATATATATCGCTACTATATGTTCTCTGACCTCCCGAAGAGTGGAAATAAAACGTGTTTTCTTGAGAAGGCCGGTCTGAATACAAATTGTCAGAGCTATTGGATTTTATTTGGAGGGCTCCCTTGTTGATAAAATGCGGAGGGCTCAAGAAAAACGTCGGAAAAGATATGGGCTGTTTATTAGATCGTCCAGATTGAAATTTTATTCTAATTTTGCTCTCTAAATTTGTTAGTTTAGTTTAAAATAAACGATATTTTTGTAACGTAATATGTATCGTTAATAGATATCCATTTATCGTCTTTATTCAGGATCTAGATTTCTTATCAAGCATTATGTTTTCTTAAAATGCTCTCTTTAAATTTGTAAGTTTAGTTTAAAATAAATAACACTTTTGTAACGCTATATGTATCGTTAGATATCCATTCATCGCCAGGTTTATTTTCAGGATCCTGATTTCTTTTTAAGCATTATGTTTTCTTTATACCAAAACCAGGACATCTGGATATTATCCATATCATCCATTTTTGTTTGTCGAGAATCGTAAAGGTAGTTATAGCGTACAACACTCAACGAAACGACGAAATAAAATGCTTCGTACACCGGAATATAAACCCCCAACTTGTTGAGCGCCTTATTTAATGCTCGTTCAATCGGCCATAAGTTTCATTAAATACGAGTAAGAAACCAATTTTCAGTTCATTGAACATCTGTTGCCAAAATATTACCGAGTCTTAACATTCTGAATGTATAATTGTTGCGCCTTCCTATTCAACTTCGAGGATCGCAATTGGAATGGTGATTATATTTTAGTTGAATGGAAACGTTTATTACTATGTAGTAATGTCACGACAGAATGTATGGCAAATAGTTTGTTATTCTCGATATGCGAGAATAGACGTCAAGTGCAATCGATCAATGGTAATAAAAAAACTAGCTTTGCGGTAGGTCATAATGAAGTTGGGAAATATAGGCGAAAAGTTGCCAGTAGATTTGTCAATGCATGTAGAAATCCCGTTCATCTAAACATGCCATGCTGTGAGAAATAAATGGCATAAAAGGCCTCCACGCCTCCCACAGTTGGAAATCAATTTGTCTCTGTCGACAGTCTATCATCTATCAGGATACATTTTCTCCGGAAGTTTATTGGAGTCGACATCGAAGTGTTATTTAATAAAAACTTCTGCATGCACGTACCTAAATGGAGCAACAATGTTTGTTGCTTGTTGTTTTGGAAAATACCTTCCCACACCTAATGGATTTTTATAGGTACGTCTAAAATGTATATTTTTTTATAATGTATATAAAAAATGGAAGAGTATGTATATCAAATGGTCCTTTTCACCCTCTTTAACCCTACAGCAAAACTTCTTGAATCTCAGATTACACCAGCTTATCAATGAGTTAATTTAACGTTTAATTAAGCAAACTCCTAAGATAAATTCGGAATATTTATATTAGTTATAAGCCTTTTTGCCTTACAATAAATTTGCGGTTCATAAAGTAAATGATTTAAAAATTAACAACAGCAAAGTTTTGCCTCTTAAAGACGTCTTAATTGAAGACCCTTTCAAATTCGGGACTTTTTTTAATAACCCAGAAATTTCCTCTTAACTTGTTAATCATTTCGGTCCCCGAAGTATCAAAGAGAAGAGCAATAAAAAACTTCAGATCGGAAAACTTCTCTAATGAATACTTAAACGATTTAAATAGAAAAGGTTCGCAATAAAAGTACCCGTAATTAAATAACAGCTCGATTTTACTTCTTATACGGTACCTAATTATTAACGAGGGATCAAATAAAATGTACCTAATCAACATCGACGTGAAAACTTGCTAATATACGCTCGATAAATGAATAACCATCGATCGTCTTCAGATTAATAATATTTTTTTAACTTCTACAGAATATCAATGCAAATGCAAATCACTCTGAATCGCAAGGAGATTAATTCTCGAATCGAATAAAAATTCAATTTTTTACAATTTATCGAATGAAAAAGTATACGATTTGAAAAATCGTATGATTGGAAACTTTCATTTTATGCTGAAAAATCAAGAAAAAAATATTAGAATTTAATGAGTAAAAAAACAAGTTTGAAAATATCCAGCCTTGGGGTGTTTTTTCTTGATGGTTAAAAGTTTTTCAGGTTCATGTTAAAAAATTATACATTTTTTTACAAGGAAGAAGGTAGGTAAGTTTTTTTAGTTTAAATGAATTTGTTTGGGGGTGAAATTTATTATCTCATGGTATTCTTGTAACGAATAGAGTATATGGAAATACGAGTATACTTATCAGGAGGTTGAAATTTTAAAATTTGCAGACGTATCTACAATTTGTTTGCCACCATTTTCGATCGTTTGTCAATCGAACTCCCTAGACCCTAGACCTTAGTTATAAATTCGTTCTATCGCCGAAGTTCTGCGTCCTTAGAATTTCAATTTACATTTCTAAGGAGATGAATAAGAAGTCCTACTTCCACGACTAGTTTTTGAACAAATTGCTCTCCTCGAAAACTCTGTTACGGATAAGCGCCTGGCGCATTCTTCTCTACCATTTCCCCGTTTTTTTAACTTTTGGCTCGCTTTGGCTTCGCATTTTATTAACATCTTGTTAGAGTTTTAGTCAAATGGAGGTATGCTAATTAGGCGTTCGAGAAAAATTAGAAATGTGTAGATAGAAAACAATAGAAATTTATAAAATTTATAAGAGAAATATACATATAATTGCATAACAACTTTTAGGTACTACTTGCTGCATAAAACATTTAGTATAATTAAGGTCAGATGGATATCAAAATGAATAATTCAGGTAAAATAACTGATATAAAAATTAATTAAGTTGATATCTCCTTTCCGTTGGCGATTCGGCTGAATAGAAATCCTGATGACGGTATTTTTGATAATAATTCCCTGTCTTGAACAAAATCCCTTGATATCAAATAATAGCTTATCTCCCCAGAGAAAATTTCTAGATATTTCTGTCCGGCATCCAGATGAGAGATACAGGAGCGGATCCCGCCTAAAATATTAAGGTTAACGAGCGGGAAGAGAATAAAATTATAAGGACAGTCAGAATTAGAAATTTTCAACGCAGGCGAAACTATTAAATTAATTTTTTATTGTTATTTTCCTGTAGGAGTACCTCCGCATTCCCCTCGAGTTTTCCGTGCTTTTCGTTATGATTTTTGCTGCTTTTAGGTCTTTTGTATTCAATTTCCCAGAAGAAAATTTTATTATTGTAGGTCCAGTTCCACTCTTTAGGTTTGTACAATAATTGCATTCCTTTTTATTAAACTAAACAATATAAACCATCCGTCTTTTGTACTTCTTTAATTTACAGCGAGATATTCAAATGAAATTTTCGTAGCGGGAGCCGAGTCTGCATTCGGAGGTGGATATTCCGGGATAATTTTCACTTCGGTTCGGCGTAGTTATTTCGACAAAGACTAAGAATATTAAATTCTCTATAAGATATTTCGCGTTGTTTTTATTATTTTCATTTCTGCCTCCTACGAATGGTGCCCCTATAAATAAAGGAAGAACAGAATGGACGAGCAGCAAATTGAATTCATCGCCGTCGAATTTGGGTATACATGCCAGGAAATTTTATTATTTTTTTAATGGACAATTATTCGAGTGAGATTTTTTTTATGTCCATTGCCAATTAATTTTTTTGTTATTAATTCCACGAAAATAACCGTTAATTTGAAAGAAGCAGAATTTCGAGCAGAAATTCTCAAGTTTTGAATATTTTTTAAGAGGCCATTTTAATTGAAATAAATAAATTTCGCGCAAATTGCCTGGATCTTCGAGGAAGGCTCCAAACTTTGCGTCCCCTTCCTCCCCTCGAAAATTCGCGAAAGGGTGGAAAACAATTCAGAATCCCTAATTAGAACATAAATTAAGTCATTTGCTGTTAAAACTGTAATTAAACTTTGCTAATAACTTTCCAATTCAAGGTACAACTGGAGTTTTAATCGATTCAGGATGCGTTACCGCCAAATGTGTTATCTCGTTTAACCAAGTAATTTCAATATCGCCTACAAATAGCTACAGTAGTTGAGAAACAGATGTAAAGTCAAATCATATTTCGCTGGAAAATAGGATTTTTTTCTCTAAAATTCCACCCGTATTGCGTCATGCAATAGTTTAATTGCGCCATTAAAAAACATCCGCGTTATCAATGCAACGAATCGCAAACGTTATAAATGTCGTCATAAATTGTAGATCGTTTGAACAATAAAAAGTGAAACCTAGGCGATATAGCAACGATTTTTTATCGAGGAAGATACGACAGGACGAACGCAGTGAGGCATCGCTCTCGGTATAAATCTTCAAGAAAATCCTGACCATTGTTTCTCTTTTGGGACGTCTCTTCTTTTACTTCTTCTGCGAAATTACAACAGTAATCAATCATTTTATAAATGATTATACAGTTCTATCAAGTTAGTCGAGCGGCTGATTATATTCTTTGGGATTCTCCGATTCTCGTCGGATTTTCTCGGATTTACGTAACGAAAATTGTCTCTTTCGTATTTCTAACCGTGGATTAGAGCTTAAGTGGCCTTTGTCTGCGGTTTCTTAATTAATGTTAAAGCTGGCGGAAATCACTCTAATTACACATCATTAATTAATAACCGTAATTAATAATAGCATTTGTTATAAAAAAGAGTTCTGTTGATTTTTAAATTGCCTGTACCTATGGTATATACCCGCATGTATTACCTTAATACTTGCGTGAAAGGTTTACATTCATAGATTGATCGTTTTCTAAATAGCCATCTGTAGGCAGATGGAAATGTATTTATGTATAAGGCAACTTTCCTTTGTGTATCCATAAGGGATTTACTGTTAAAAAAGGGTTTTACATAAAGACCCGTCTATCTTCCGTTGTATTGGTTTCGCCCCAATTTCAATAAGAAAACCCAGGAAGTTGAATTGATTTTGAACATAGAGTTTCCCCTTCACGAAAGAAAATATTTTACAGCGAAGTGAATAATTGTTTCTAAATTTATCCAAAAGGTATCAAAATAGGCCTGAAACTACTACTTAGGGAGTTTCGAATAAAAGTCCAAACGGAATATATACCTATACTTTATCTTCTAAAGCGACAAACAGTTATTTTCAATTATTCTTATTCAACGTCAAATTTCTGCATACGCGAAGCTCGCTTTCCCTCTGGAAATCCCACTGAAAAACTCATAGTTATCTCTTCCGCGCGAAGACGCTGATTTATTATTCAAAAAAAGGACGTTCCGCTGTAAAAAGTCCGCGCTGTAATGATCTTTTCTTCAGGAGACATCGAGAAAAACCGCAACAATTTCCTTAATTTCGGTATTTAAATACTTCTGCATAATAACCATAAGCGTACATAATATTACTCGAGTAATTAAAGCGTTAATATATTACAAGAAAAAGAAATTTATTATTTTGTCGCTTAATCATGAGGAAATTTACCGTCGCAATCAAATAACCGCACCTAGTGGATTGCGGATTTTTAGAAAAAATTGAAATTAAAATTGTAAATTTGTGAATTATTTCGAAACGCCGCTGCAAGCTATTATCGAGTGACAGTCTCGCCCCTTATTTGTAACCGCTTTCCTTCACTAACGAGTCTTGTCGTCTTCATTTACACGCCTTTTTCGTGTTTATTTTTTCCTCAGAAAGACCCCGATTAGGTCCCGTGTTTCCCGGAATGCCGGAAACTTTCTACAAGAAATGGGAACGAAATAAGGCGACATTAAACTCGATTGATGGGGTTGTGGATTTAATAGCTCTATTTTGAAGTTTTTTTATGTATTTCATCGCCGCGTTTTCAATTCGACGATAATGGAAGTATTTGAACAGAGAGTGGAATTTATTTTGAAGGAGTATTCTTAATACCTTTTATGAAAATAAGTAAAATAGCTAAAAGCAATTCAGGAAGAATTGAATCGATTTTTTTTATTATGTATGAGATTACCTGGGGATGTTGTACAATCGATTCTTTGGTAATAAATACAAGAAAAGCGAAACCTTCATATATCAAAACATTCCTTTTAAAAGATTACTTGAAACATAAAGAAATAACAACTTCAAAAGTTCCATTTTCCCGTTTCCATATCCTACTTATATCGATTCATATTATTTCGGTAACCCTTTTTTATGATCAAAGCATACGCTCCATTTCAGTAAAATTTCGAAATCAATTTTAAAAGCCTCGTTTAATATGGCACAAAAAAGTCCCATGGCATAAGGTAATTATACACTGTTAGAAAGATGAAGAATTAGTCCGGCGAAATAGCCGGACGTTGAACAAAAAGGTCGGTTCTCATATTTAACGGCTTTATCACTTTTACACGCAATTACACGTGACATCAGCGAACAGTTCATCACGTAAACTGCCGTTGAAGCTGGAGGCGCAAAGCAAAAGTAATAAAAAGAAGAAAAAGCATGTCGATTCATTTACGCTGTGTTAATCTTCGCCATTTGAAACATCGGAATTCAACATATACATTCGGCATTAAGCATTAAAATGAGATACAAACCCTTATAATAACCTAAAAAGGCAATAAGGGAATCTACGACAAGAACAACGATGCGCATGTAGTAGTAATTAAGTTTTTTCTAAAACGTTCGCTCCATAGTAACTTTTTGTAAAGTACTAAATACACACAGTTTCCAGTTTTATTCTACTGAACTGTATTAAAATAGCAGTTAAACGCGACTACGCTACTGGCGAATTTACTACCAGAACTTCGGAACTACTCGTATAATATAAAGTCGGGATGTAGGATTTAGAGACAAGTTAAATTGGCGGAGTAAAAGTTCATAAAATGTGTTTCAAATAAGTTAAATGAACGAGAAGAATTTCGAAATAAGTTCGGTTGGTCACTTCAAAAAGTAATTGCTACTATGCGATCAAATGTGTCTCTGTAAACTCGAAAAACAAGAACGGGTTTTTCTTTTTCTCGGGAATAAAATGGAGCTTTGGACCTATGTATATGGTGGATATAAATGCGGCAAGAAAATGCTCTCTTGTAATGGATCTCCTCATTCCACAAGGCAAAACTACAACCCACTTTGATTTCCTTAGCTTTGACGCATCAAATTCATCGGGATGATTTTCTTTTCTTTTACGAATCTGAGCTTTGGTATATTCGATTTATGATCCTTGCGCTGCTTCGTCGTGTTTTTCTTTGTTGGTGCGAAATATTCCAGTGCTTTACGGATTCGGTAGCATTTTACACTTGATTTAAAAAAGTGGGTCAGTCGAAACTATCTATAGTATCTATACCTTGCGATGAAAATGAATTTTTAAAACAATTCCAATCTTTACGACATTGCACAGTTCAACAGAATTGATTATTAACTTTCAACAAAACCGGAATTGAATTATTATTGAGTCCAAACTAAAACTTTAAAGAAGTCGAAATAGGATTTATTAATTTTAATGAAGAAACTCCGGGATGCATCAACTTCCTATAATAGAAAAGATAATTGTTCCCGCATTGGTGGTATCTTGTTAATCTGGATTGCCCCTCGGTCTTGTTTTACTTGTTTTAGTAATTTAGTGGCTTGCTCAAGTCGTCCTCAAGGAAAATCCACCGCTGAATAAACTGGAATTTAATTGTTTTCGCTACGGCAGCTAAACCTCCAGGACCTCCAGGAGTCTTGGAGGAGACCTCTATTGTCACAAAAACGTGACTCTTAGTATAATTTACATGAAATATTGCTGTAGGTATTATAACAAAGTGCATGGATGTTTGTACAAGCTATAATTGTTTAATTTACTGGTATTATAATTTGTTAATTGTTACAATTAATAGATAATACTAACCTTGATTTTTCTCTGGCTGTCCCTGTGGTGGGATGTTTTTCCCATCTACGACTATTGCCCAAAACAACAACCATTTTAACCAAATCACCGCGACCATACTTGTTGTTAAAGGTAAATAGTAAATTTCATCACATTCTCAAATCCAGAGCTTTATTTCCTGAAGTCGCTATTACTTTATCTTCATCCTTTCCTGCACTTATTTGCTGACACTCCAACGGGAAATTTGGAGTGCACAATTCATTGCCAGCAATTACTCCTCTTGCAATGCTAAAGTGTCTGTAATGAAAAACAAATTACTAATACAATGATGTTCTCATTCGCTAAAATTTGAACTTAGGAATAGAAACAGTGCAACAAATATATTTAACAATTAGCCAGCATTTATCATTATATGATTATTTCAATTATGTACTGCAGATCTCAGATTAGATTAATATATACATCAATATTTCCAGTTCTTTGAAGGATTTAAGGATTACACAAATTATGGTAAGCTGGATGATAATATTGTAAAATAATAATGTTATACTTAAATTTCCCGTATTTATAATAATCTGGTATTAAGGTTGTTACAGTCTGTCAGTATTTAATTCGTAATTAGGTATATTCTCTAACAAGAAATTGGTCATACACTTGGTAGTGTTATTTGTAAAAAATATTAAACTAATTTTTTATCTTAATTAAATCATATTAACCTAATTATATTTAGGAGTTAGGATGCACCAATCGTATCAATTATTTCAGTGTAATTGAATAAATATTAAATTTACTAGAGACAAGAACAAAACAGTCGGAGTAATGGGCAAGTCAAAGGGTAAGATCCAAAACTCGAGGCACCTCTTGACCAAATTACAATCCTAAAGCAAACTTAACAGCTTTCCGATGTAACAAATTTACTTAGCGGGAAATCCTGCAAACTTCGCCGTCGGAAATGAATTTAAAGCCGTCGCCGAGTGTACATAAGAGCAAACGGGTTTGTCTCGCGTCCTTAACCCTTATCGAACAATTAGAATATAAATTGGTGGAGTACTGCAGTAATCGTTCGAAACGACCTATTTGGCCGTAGAAATTGTAAGTTGAGAATATAGCTTTGGATCGAGAACGATCGATATTTGCATATATTAATTAATCAGAACGAAAGAATTACTAAATTGGAGAAACATACCTGTGTTATTTTGGAAATTCAAACCGAGGAGTGTTTGCTACGTACGTTATAATACATTTTTTAAATCATTTATATGTGTTATGTTCTGAAACGCACTAAAATTGAGTAGGAAAATAAAACCTAATTAATTTTAATTAATTGTTAAAACGAGTAGTAGGTATAAATAATTAATTGGTACTTTAATCCGTTTGTTGCGGGAAAAGGGTAAATTTTCACATGCCCGTTAATTAAATAGTAGATAATAATTTGATTAAAAAAAGAGCTTGTGAGTTTTAGCCATTTGAACTAATAGGTGGGTAGCAATCATTATTTATGCATATAATTAAATAAATGAGATTTATATATTAATAGATATTTTTGCTCATTAAAATTTAACCTGTTGCAGATTTAGTATATAACTGTAGGTACACAATACCATACATGTAACCGAATTTAAACTAAACCGCTATAGCAAATGAATGTTGGTTAATCACTAACGTAAATATTAGAATTTAGTTAATATGTATTTTGAATGGGTAAATATTCATTAAATCCTTCTGTATACTTACAAGCGATTAATAAACACTCCGTTTGAGAATCGCCCGAACCCACTAAATAACGTTGTTTTCCCGCAATTTCAGGGGCTACTTGACCATAAATTCTGAAAGCAATTTAAAAGCGTTGTAAACATCCCGTATTGTTGGAAGAGTGCACGGTCCCGGCTGGAGATCTGGCTAGTAGGAGACCATCGGGAAAATATATTTCAGTACAGGAGGTCGCGGTCGGAATTTCCCGGCGTTATTTTGAGCTCGTGGAGTGTCGAAGGGCTTCGCTTTTAAATGTGCACGGTGTAAATTTTTGCGGCGAAGGGAAAAGTGCTAGCGTGTAGGGAAAAAGCGGCGGTTATTCGGAGGGAGGTCTAATTTTGACTAAAAGCTAATAAAGCTAATTTAAATTTATTGAAAGTTCACTGGAGTTCTGTTAATTAGCATTCACCAATAAATCAACATAAAAACCATTATTTGCCCAAGAGATCCATTTAGTACATTTATTAAAGGAATTATAAAACATCCTTAATAGTACAAATAACTTGTATCGTACACCGCAAAGGCTATTCCGTATTCTAATTCCGGGTCGTTGCTTAAATCCCCGTTAAAACTCACTTCTGTGGAAGTTTCTTTCCGCTAACTTCCAAGAATCAACTTCCGAGGAAGTTTCGAGCTCTTTTTAAGTCGATATACTGTAAACGTAACTCCCTAACGAACATTTCGTTACCAGATTGGCAACTCTCAAACAGCGCAAATTATTATTATTTTATCGTTTATTTTGAACATTGGTTATTTTCTCTCAGATAGTTGGGTTGCATTAAATTTGGATCTCTGATAGTTGATATAATAGAAGGTAAAATTGGTATTTCAGTCTTGCTCGTGGTTTTGACATAAATATAATTTTCTCTATAGAGGAACAAATTTAAAATGGCAGTAAAATAGTTTTTATCAACAATGGGTAGGTATGATACTTAAACCGAAATCTTAGAGAGCCATAAATTTAATATTTTCAGATCATAATCTATTCGGTTTTACAACCGACTTTCCTATAATATTTTCCCTATATTTCTCAATTTTCTTTCGGCCGACGTATATTGCCAATGTGGGCATTTTTATGCACCATAAATTTTCGCAAGGCGACTTCTTTTGATTGTCAAAACAGCCGTTATAAAACTAATTTCCATGCCGGAAATCTCGGATAAAGTTTCTCCGTCTATGTTTTTTTTATAGAAAAACTTTCTGTGGTTGTATTCTATATTCTATTTACGATCAGTATTTTTTAGGAACTCAAAATTACATTGGATGATTTAAGATTTTATCATGGAATTTACAAGTATTATCTAATATAACAGGAAAGATGTTTTGCACAATATTATTCCTATTTAAACTATTATGTAGGAAGAAACAATATATGCATCTAGAAATATGATTTTCCCGAATGCACCTAGCAATTCTCCAGTCCTCAATAAAATTTATAACCTCTTGAATTCCGGTTCGACGCTTACGGTGCGCGTCAATCGACATATCGTCGTCTCGTTACTTCAGCATTTCCAACGAAATTTATGACTCGCATCTCCAGGATTTATCCTTAACGATGATACAACAGTCACGGTCTATAACTTCGCCGCTTAACTGGATACACTCACATTTAATTTTACGGAATCTCGAAACACAGTACAAGGACCTCGACAATGCAGGATCAGATCTGCTCTAATTATTTTACGATATTGTACCACAAAAGGATTTATTATTTGAACAGTGACAATGTTGATATATTTCTGAATGCGTAGTTAATATAGTATACTGGAGAAAATTGAAAATGGAAATTAAATAAAGATATATGTATAATGAAATAAATGGAGCATGAATATAATACATTGAAGATGTTATTAAAAGTGAAAAAGGGGACGAATCCATCCAACAAATGGATTTTTAAAAGTATATACATGGTTTGTTTGCAAAATCCAAATGATTGATCGGCATAATGATGATGATGTAACCCTAAAAATCCGAAATCGGTAATTTTAAAAAAGCAATTTAGGCCCGTAAACCAAACAATACGCCTGCGAAATAATTTTTGTAATTTATATTTAGTCCCTTTCGAGCACATTGTAAACCTTCAAAAATCAATTCGGGAATTCTTAAAAGAAGTTCTTCCGGAACAGCCTTTATGAAAATTGTTATGTTACCAGGGATCGCTGAGAATAAATTGGAGTTTACTAAATCAATTTCCTTGCCGCCTAGGATGAAACTTTTAAATTAAAAGGTGTACTTTGCTGTACCGAAATTGCGTCAACATTATTGTATCAGGAAAGTTTTAAAACGTGTAAGTAGATACCTATACAGATATGGAAAGATAGCGGTGAAAAAAACAACTTTAATATTGGTTTAATTATTTTTCAACTTTAAAATGCTTGCAACGTTTAGCATTGGTGGCGTTTAGTTTTATTTTTATTTAGGTAGGAGCAGGCAATTATTTGGCTATGTTTTAATGAAACATTGGTGTTGCTCTAGATATTGGTGTTACATATCTTTTGTTTATGTGTGAACAAATAGAATTTTAAAAAATATTTGATGTTGAAAAATAATTCAAACTTTGATATTCGTATGAAAAAACAAAATTTTAATAAATAGGCATATTCACCTCTGTCACGCTTAAATGAAACAATTTTTCAAAGAATAATGCAAACAAATTCAATGGGAATTAATAAATATGATGTGTACCTACAAATCAATTTTTGCTGAATCTACAAGCGATGATATAGGAACACATTTAATCAAACATGAATGCGATCAAAAATCCGGCCTATTTTATAATAACACGTGCATTTCGGTATCAAAGGGAAATGTACTTTTGCCACCTACCTGTGCAAAAAACATGCAAATTTGCTTTTTTTATAGTTATAGGTCAACGCACAAATGTAACTGCATTACGAGTAATAATCTTCGGTATACCTATTTGGAATGATCCGTACCTATAGATTAAATAATTACTTAAGTATTTTCAATTTCCACAGCTTTTCCCATTAGAAAGATCAAGGCATAATCAGAACCCACATTAGTGATTTTCTTATATCAAAAGGTCAACACATCAAAAGATCTAATCCCATATATGTATAGTAGGAGTAGATGATATTAACTTTCTGCCTGATACGAGGTTTCATCTCTTAAGTTAAAAAACTTAAAAGTTAGATGAGAAAGGATGTATTAGTAGGTACTCACGAATGGATATTATTTTAAAACACACATTTCAACTTATTCTCTGAGTAGCAATCTGTGCTGCACAGAAAGGCAATCAGAAAACTACTTAATGAATATTAAACAAAAAGATTCTACATATATAAAAGTTGCAAAAGTTGAAATTTTGTTAGCTGAAAATAAACCAGTGAAGAGTTGATTAATTAATATATTGTAATTAAATTACTCTTTCAAAATATAGCGTAGGTACATGTAGGGAGAAGTAAAACTAATTTCAAAATCCTGTATAATACACCACAATCGAATTTCTGTCCTTTTACATCAAAAGGAACCGGAGTAGCAAAATTGAACAATAAAGGTAAAATAAATGTTACCTACCATACATT